TCTTCGTCATCCTCTAATTTCAGCTTCTTACCGACTGGAGGAGCAGCCGAAGGAGATGCTGAGGCGCTGACCCGGAATCTGAGTGGTGGGAGTTTGGGCTTGATGGAATCTTCCTCTTTTTGCTTGCAGTCTCGGCAGACAAAGTGAAAGTCTTCCTTTTCGGCCGCTTCCTGTGAGATCCCAAGACACTTGCTATGCTGCCAAACATTGCATTTTTCGCAGGCAACACTGTGACTTCCATCATCCTAGGAAAAGGTTAGGCTAAGGCTCAGGTGCTTGGAGACTGAAACTCACCAAGTTCTCGCCATACACTCCACAGCCAGAGCAATCAAAGATCCACTGATCATCTTGGGTAAGCCCTGCCAGGTTCTTCTGGGACTTCTCCAGGTCAGCCTGGAGGTTTCGGGCAGACACCCTACTTTCACCCCTGTCAATTCTTTCTTGTTCTTCGGCGATCCTTTCCAGCTCAGCCTCATGCAGCAGTCGCTTCTGTTCACGGTCTCTGATGCGGTGCTCGCGAGTCATTGTACGCGACTGTCGATCTTCTTCAAGCTGACTTTGCCTTGCCTGCTCCTTACGAGCCTCGGCTAGGTCGTTTTCACGCTTCTGGGCGGCTTCGGCAGCCTCTCGATCCTGTCGTTCTTTTTCTTCCTTGGCGGCAAGTCGACTAGATCTCTTAGCACCGGCGACAAGCTGCATATTCAGAAGCTCCTTTTCACGCTTCTGACGCTTGCGCTGCTGCGCTTCCTCTGCCTTCTCGAGGATAGGCAGGACATGCTCAACTATGCTATCGCGTAGGTATTTCTCGTCCGCGTCCTTGGTTTTCTGGATTGTCTCCAAGAAAGCCTGGTATTCCTGGAGTGTGACAGCCACACATTCCCACTTGAAAGGATCTTTAGAGAAGGCCGCGACGGCTGCATCGTTGGTATCCTTGCTTTCCTCGTCGGAACCCTCTTCCGCCGCTGCCGTAGATGTACGCTTTGACGTTCTTGATACTCGAGAAGACCGGCTCTTTGCCTTCTTCTTGGGACGCTGAGGAGGGGGAGGTGGAGGAGGGTCGGTGCGACGGTAGAGGCGATTGTCATCTAGCACGTAGTATGATCGCCCTTCGCGATCCCAGCCAAACTCTTCAATACGCTGGGAGAAGTCAGTATGCGATCGTCAGGGGTCAAATCTATACGAGAGATAGCTTACCCATTCTGTCTGCTCGGTTTCCTTCTTTTCGGGCATCTTGTCGCGAATGCGGTCCGCGTTCCAGAATGTCCATACCGTCAGCTGGTGGAGGACACGGATCTTGGTGAAAACATCGAAATACAGGAACTTGTTTGGTTCTTCATCGTAACCGAAGGGATTAGTGATATTAGGTGCTTTCGCATTGTACTGGCGTCGGGTGTATTCATCGAAATTGTCGAATCTGCCAACATAGTAGTGTCAGTGAGACTCAGGATACCGAGAAATGTGTTCCAGTAAACGTACGTAAGACCGCGATGCGACGAAATCCACTTGAGGAGACACAATCCAATCTCCAGTAGTTTATGAGAGGGCTCGGGTTTGAGACATTCGACTTCTAGATCCTGGCGGGGGCAAAAGACATCAGCGATAATTCAATCAAGTGAGACCTGCTCGTGTATTTTCTCATCAATGCGACAAGAAGCGCACAGCATTGATCCCAATCCAGACCATGCTAATAGACATACCTCAATCCCAAAGTCCTCGTCAATCTTCATGACCTGGCCAAAGATAGCAATGTATTGCATGAGGCTTGCAAATGCCCAGTTGCTCCTGAGCTGTGAAAGCAAACCAGGCTCTTCTGGTACCTGTTGCTCGGCCACCGAGGCGACCTCGGAGTGGGTGCGCTTTCGCGATCCCATCGCGGCGGGACAACCGTTAAGGCCGGTTTTCTCAAGGGTGTCAATGAGGGGGTTCCCTGGAACGAAAATGTGGCGGAGATGAAAGCCAGAGAGTGTCCAACTTCCAAATGAGAAATTCGAGCGTAAAAATTGAAAAGGGCCTAAGACATACGAAGGTTGAGTCTGCACTTTTTTTCGTGTCGTGAGGCAAGACGATCAGTAAGGCGGCGCGTCAAGGACCGTGTCACGTGAACAGATGCGTTTGTCGAATTTAGCAAGGGGAGAAGGGAGGATGATAGCTGAAGAGGAAATTTAGGGGATCATATCAAATTGGTCTAATCTTATTCTCAAATTAAAAGGGATCTATACAATGAGATTATGCAAACAATGGAAGATCGAATATTCATGAATCGGAGACAAGTACATCCATGCTTTTGAGAACAAAGTCGCATATACACAAGTGAAAACAGAAAAGAAAAAAACAAAGCAGACGCCTGGATCTTTGGATATCTCTCGCTTTCAAAGGTCTATCTCACACAGAGCAGTTGGGGTTCGTCAAAGACGAGGAGAAAATGCACACAGACGACAGCGCCAACCAGAATTCGCGCCACGACAGAAGAGTTCCGTCGAAAATGAAGATCAATAAACAATCAGAAGAAAAGAAGCATATTTCCCACAAGCAAGATGCAAAGCAAAGATAGAAAAAGAAGAAAAGAAGAAAAGAAGAAAAAGAAAGGGACAAGAATACATTAAACCTCCCCCAACGCAGATTACCGAACCCTCAAGAAACCCAGTATAAATGCGGTAAAGAGAGAAACAACCAGGAATGAAGAAAAAATGAACTTGGATCCGATGCCCTCAATCGATGACATACCTCATGCGCTGGATCCATCCAGTTCTTCAACCACAATTTTGCGCCTTGTGTCCGTTAATCGCCAGAAGCCTTTCCCATGCATATCATAAAGTAAAATATTTCGGGAGAAAGAAACAGATGCTTTTCGTATGTTACATTGCCGGGGCTCCATCCGAGACGGTGTCGGACAAGTTGATAAGGAGTTGAGCCAGGCAGCGCTTGGTAGCTGCATCGTCACGGAGGACTGAGGAGAAGGTGGCGTCCCGGAGAGGTTCGGGGAGACATTGCCGCAAGGCCTCTCGGGCCCGACTGTTGTCACTGAGACTGTATCTGTTGTTAGAGACACATATGAAGCGGGATATTGCACAAGGACTCACCGAAGGAAGCAGCGCACAACATGCTTAAGAAGGCGGACAGTCTGTTGCTCCACCAACTGAGTAACCATGTTGCTCAGGACAGTGCCCACGGCATAGAATCTTTCATATGTGGCGCAAATGTAGCCCAAGCCTATATCATCAAGAAGAATTTTCTGTACGATAAAGATAGCGACAGTTTTGCTCAGCTCTGAGCCCGTTTCCATGATGCGAAGGCAGAGAGGGATAATCTCCGTAGTTAGGAGGAAGTTGATCACGTCAGACGAGTCATTCTTCACCAATGCGCCGATGACGCCCAGCGATGTTAGTCGGAGGTATTCGAAGGGACGAGACTTGGAGGTGGTGTTGAGGAACGGGTAGAGGAAAAGAGGGATGTGAGCTGAACGAGGAAATATATTAGTAACCTGGTTTGCACGGGTCATGATAAATTTTTACTCACCGTTCAAGAAGAGAGTGCGGGTCTCATTGTGGGAGGCAACGCATTGCAAAAGCGCCAGCGCATTGCAGACTCGATTTGACGCGGCGGCAGTCAACTGAGAAGGGTTCAAGAGTGGATATACCGAGATGATCTCTTGAAGGAGTGCAGTCATGACACCTGCAAGTTTCCGACCGTTAGTTATTGTAGACAGGGCTGGGCGCACGTTGGGAATGGAGCCATACCAAAAGAATGCCAGATGACCAGAGCCAGTTCGGGGACCTGCTCCCGCTTCTTGCTCAGCTCCATCAAAGCGGATTCCCTGCGGGTTGGATCTAATAGCTCGGCGACCCAAATGAAGACCTTGCGATTCTCCTCGCTGATTCCACCGTCCATGGCGGAGACCGCATTTGACATACCATCTCCACCCATGCCACCGGCGCCACCGGCTCCCTGCGCATGGTTCCCACCACCATTCCCGCTCATGGCAATGCGGCCATAGTGTTGTTGCTGTGCGGCGGCTGCGGCGGCTTGCACCTGGGCGTGCTGTTGGGCGACCAGGGAAGCGTGCTGCTGCTGCGATTGGTGTGGGTGCGGCTGAGCCTGGTGGTGCTGTTGCTGTTGCTGATGTTGCATCCACGAAGGGTCGGCCTGGGGATATTGATGTTGGTGGGAGAAGACGTGTTGGGTCTGCGCTTGAAGCATGGTGGGTGATGAGTCGTTTCGGAGACTCGTAATACTCCGAAGGATCGGAACTCTAGCGAAGCGACGGCAAAATTGGGTCTGGGATAAAGTTGAAATGGGGTTAATAAGGTCAGGAGTTTAATCCTGAGACTGAAATCATTGATGACTGAAGACAAGTTGCAAGAATAGTGGTAGAATGGGCAGATTGGGTCGAACAGGTCGAACAGAGGAGTGTGGAGGAGGGAAAAGGCGGAAGTGAAGGCGGGGAGATAAAGTGCCTCCCCTAAGTTTTGTGTGGTCTTTTTTGGCCCTGGGCATGTCTGTCCTACTGCTATGGAGTCCTTGTTCTATAGCTCTATAATTATTTTCTTTGCTGTTCTTTATCTTTTGTCTCATTTGACTCGGATTGAATTTGCATTATTGGTGTTGTCAAACCTGCAGGGCATCCAAACAGAGCACATTGTTTTCTGCAGGCCAAACAGCTTTCTGCAGCCATTACGATTTCCCATGCAGTTCCAAGGTTGCTCATAGTTATTTCATGCCGGTGCCCGGGGAGCATTTACAGCTATCAGACAGTGATAAACAAGTCCAAGAATCATATTCTCGTGTCGGGTTTGTACTCGTAATCTCATATGTACATCGTAGTGCCAAACATAAATCTCATATCGACATCGAAACAGGGCAATATCGTCAATCCCAGATCAAATCCAAAAAAAATCATAGTGTAAATCATAGTGATACATCAGTCACATTATAAATGCAGCGCCATAAATGCATAATCGAACCGAAGTCGTCGAACTGAAGACAGAAGCGACAAGACTCTATCATGGACGGGTGCGCGACTGTCGTGACCGTCGCGTATCCCTCGTTCGTCTGTCAGAACTTCGGCTACCTGTGAAAGAGAAACGTCAGTAAAGATCCTTCGTTATGGGGATATGTGGGGGCGGACGCACTACTCCCTGAGTAATAGTCGGAATAGTAGTAGTATGAACTTGGGTAGGAGGACTCGGTCTTGGCGTCGTCGTGCTCTCTCGATCTCCTCAATCCCAAACATAGAGCAAGAGCACCGAAGATAATGGCAATTGTGCCCCAGCCCCATTTGGACTCTTTCTTTTCGCTAACGTCACTGCCTTCCGCGGCTGGTCTGGATCCGAACCACGTTCGCCGGGCAGGAGCAGGAGGAGGAGGCCGACTACCATGCGAGTGGTGGGAATGGCGCTCTTCAACATAGGTTGTTTCCTGTCTGCGGCGCTTCTTGCCGATGCCGAGCGCTGCAAGCAACCCAGCCAAGACGCCCCTGAAGCAGATGCAGGCGCAGAGGAGTAGCAACAAGAACGCACCGACAATACTGCCGATGACAATTCCTGCAATGGCACCACCACTCAGTCCGCCACCTGAGGCTTGGGCCCCAATCAAATCCGCCCCGTCTGTTCCAACCGGCGCTGTGAATCCCTCCGTGGTGGTTGGGGCAGAGGTTGCCGTCACGGTGCTTGCCCCATTGCTCGTCCCTCGCACGCCCGGCGTGGCTTCTGACCCGGAATCTGTTCCTGTAGCAGTAGCAGTCACAATAGCCGAAGAGCTTTCAGCGACACATTGGCCATTGTCACATTCTTGCGCAGCGTCGCAACAAGTCGTGCCGCACGTCGTCTCGCCGAGGTCGGCTCTACACGTGCCCGCGCTTGTAGTAGCAGCTATCTGGCTGCTCCATACAGAGGTAACAGTTGTGAGGTCGGTATTTGTGAGCACGTAGGTCGTTGTGTAATATTGATAGTCCCCACTGCTGCTATCTGCACAGACGGCCTCTTGAGCACTGTTGGTACTGCACGTCTGACCGGTCTCACAGCAAAGCCAGTCATTATAGCCACATGGATTATCGCAGCGCTTTTCAAGCCTGTTTTCTCCGAAGATGTCTGCTTCAGCTGCGAGCGGGGTTGCGGCTGCGTGGAGCGCGTAGTTGAGGAGTAGGGAAAGTGTCGAGAGCACTGGCAGGACGGATAAAGATCGCATCGCAAAGAAAAAGCGAGGCAACGCTTGCCAAAATTCAGTGGTGAAACACTCGAATCGGAGAGCCTGTGGTTTAGACTGGAGCGGTGGTCGTAGTAGTCTTATCTCACTCGTATACTGGAGAGATCTTGTCGATCACAGACAAAGATCACCAAATTCTTGAGACGTCAAGATATGATCGGAATGCAGACAAAGAATAAAGAAGAATGAGAGAAGTCAAGAGAAAAGAGTTCTAGTTTGTTAGCTACACAACATCTCCCAGCCTCTCCAGTATACCCAACCACCCGATTTCCTACCAATCGCCTGAGACTTTCTTTTTATCCGGTGGCTGGGACTCGGATTAAATGAGATTTACTGCATTCCGATTAGTCCAACGCTATTTTCCGCCTCGAATAACAAGCCCTGGGTTGCCCCCCTACCGGCGTCCTGTCAGAAGCGATCAACGGGTTGGATGCAGGTTCCACCCCGCATGGCAGCAATCCGCTTCCAAGGCTATGTCCAACACCGCCATTTCAGAATTGCCTTGACTCAGGTCTAACACTAAACACTAAAGAGGAACAATCCACTTGTGTACGTTGGGCAGCCAAGAGTCTCGTAAATTGCAGCGAAGCGTGGATGTTGTGGATGTCGGATATTCCGTGCCACCAATGGCAGCCCAACGATGAATTGTCCAATCCGTTGAAGACCCTGACATCCGATTAAACAGGCACAGGCACAGGCACCCAGGCCCCGGAGAGCTGCTAGAGGGACATCCTCTCTACTTTGAAAGCGATCAAAGAATCAAAACTTACCCAAGAGAATTATTCTAATCGATAATTACTACTCTGTCATGCCACTCCCTTGCTAGGATGGTTCTTTTCTTGCTACAACATACAACATACGGAAATATCTCTAACAACCCATAGTTGCATATTGACCGCTATTTCGATGGCTCCGAACTAGCGATAATATCAATGACCCATTCCATTCCATGGGAGGTGCAAGTGCGGTCTGCCATCGCCCCCGAAGAGTGTCTTAGGTATCGTCAGACTGCTTACGTGAGGTCATCCATGGATGGCGAGACTCCTCGCATCGCCAATATTGGCCAAATTGAAAATGTGCTTCGGACTATCCACGATCTTGCTCCCTGCCGCCTCATGTCAAGCATCCTGCCGAAGCCTTGAGGTATTCTTAGTCTGCACGTCTGCCAGTTGGATGAGATTTTGAACCCGGCTACATAACCCAGCTGGCATGCGGACTGGATGCGACGAACTGGGCCGAGTAAGAAGTACCTGTGCAATGAAGGAATTCAAACAGGCCCTGATGTTGCGGAGCATATCTAATCAATTTCCCACTGTTGACAATAACGCCATCAACCATTTCTATGCTCGCCAACCACATGGTCATGGATTGAACAGCAATATGCAGTCTAGTTGTCTCATCTTGAATTGTTACTGTCTGATCTATGGTCCATCACCAACTTGAAATGAATCCCCCTTGATCCAATTACCGAGATCTTTAGGCAATTAGTTTGACCTGCTAAAAGATATCCTAGGAATGTGTTGCAATGAGCTTTGGGAAATACTTATGAATCAGCCAAAGACATTCCTTTGCTTGTAAATAACCTAGAAATTATGTAACTAGTACCAAACATCCAGCTTACACGGAGAAAAGGAGTCCGTAATTATGGAATAGATTATCAAACTATGTATCATCCAATTTCACACATTCATCTTGACAAACAAACCTCTTACTAGACTCTGCCACTGTCTTGTCCACACATATGTACTCCGTATAGTTGTAGGCGGTCATTTTCTGCCCCCAAACAGGGGTTATATTGAACTTTAAGGATGTCTTTTCGCCCTTCGGGGCATATGGTCAAATGAAAATATACAGAGAAGATTAGCATGGCCCCTGCACTAAGGATGACACGCTCAATCAAAGAGAAGCTACCTATTTTTTTTCTTTTACAGGTCCTTTTTGAGGTTATACAGGTGTGGGTCCTTTTGACGCGGTATAATTGGTCTTACGCCATCGGGAAGTCACGTGCCTGTCTGATCTCCACGGTGGGTGTACGAATCCCGGACCGCACGAAAAAGTGGAGCATTTATCACCAACCCACGGTCAGGTCATGGCGGCTCTGTGTTATAGTTGAAAAGAATGTCGTCCAGCCTAGATAGTAATAAGAACAAAAACCATGACAACTTAACGTGCGTATATCCTTTTCATGAACTTACCAGTATCAAATTTGAGGTTATTCCCACCTTCCTTTTGCTTCTGGAATATCTGTTGAAAGGTCACCTGACCTCCATTGTTTGCTCCTGCTACTTATTCCACAAACCTGTAGATAGTTTCTTCCTTCTTACCCGCAACTGAGGTTTTCTATAAGTCATATATATCATCGAGTGGGTTCTATATAAGCCCTTTCTCAACATCCTTCATATACTTTACCCCATTCTTATCTACTGAGTCATCATCTACACATCTTGGGTTCATATATCAGAACTTCATCATCCCACTATCTATAAATTGAGCCTTCTGGAGTCTAAGATGAATGTATCTCTGACACTTGAACAGCGAGTATATCGAAGGATTCTACCTGTTCCGACGTGGGGGCTCTTGAACCACGCGGTGGATGAGCCCGTCGAATCGGAATGGCATCCAAACACTCGGTGCGGTGATAGCGACTACGAATATCAACATCCGTCTTGGTGATCACAAGTCGGCGGGTACCTCTTATCGGAAACCCCAGATATGGCAATGGTCTTGCGAAAATCCCCGGTAGCTCTGACGGTCGTCGGAGAAATGAAGGTACCACAACTGTCACATGGAAGACGGCAAGTTTGTTTTCTGTGTCCGCATCCCGGGCATGGGTGTCTCAACAATTGCCATTTTGGCAACCAGAACCACCGTCGCGATTGGGACGAGGGTACCCAAAAGAAAAGAAACACCAGTGAAACAAGAAGACGAGCAGCTTGTCAATGATTCGAACCTGAAACCAGCCAACCGACAATCCAGGCAGCTGCAGCGGGTATAGAATGGGCCATAGTGCATACCATGAGGACAATTGGACAAATCGTTAATGAGTCTCTGATGAACCTTCTCAAAGCTCTCACCATGAACATTCCAGGTGTGTCCTATTGATAGTTGCTGAGATAAAACGTGAAGTCAAAAGCTGAAGCCTCACCTACCTAGGTCCACGGGTCGGATGCCCAATTGGCTAAGGCACAACATGGACCGGATCTCGTTTAGAGTAGCTCTCGCCCTCTTCTCTCTTCCTCTTTTCCCTCCCTGTCCATTCGCGCGGAACCGAATTAGACACACTGTTTCTCATTATCTACACTATAGCAGATTCCTATTATCTAGTAATAAAAAAGTCGAAGCAGTCCCGGGAGATGGCATCGAAGGGACATCGAACCACCACAAGGAATACTAGATTATGTTTTGGTTATAATGAAGACGAACGTCGTGCTTGGGGAAGTTCAGATGCAACGAGGTGATGAGTCAGGGTCCATCGTGTCCCGAAGATCAAAGGAGCTGGGGCCGCGATATCTTAGAAGAGGAGGAAATTCGGACTCGGACGGAGAGGTTGGAGAGGAAGAATATTCAGCGAGAAATGGGGAATTAATTCAGACATGCAATATTCCCGACTCAGTAGGATAAAAGAAAAGTACTGTCTAACCCAGGAAGAAGTCAACGGAAGAATATCCAGATATTCTCCTCGGAGAACCGGTCGACCATCTTGAGCGTGATATTGAACGAAGACCCATGGGGAATGGGGTTTAAGCACGGGTTCAAAATTCAATGCTCGTGACGGAGTAAAAGGAAGGGATTCGAAGAGTATCATAATTCTAGGAGTTGCTCCACATGGCGATATAAAATCACAAGAAAAGGAAAGAATATACAAATCAAAAGAACGCATTCAAAATGTCGTTTCAGATCCATCAATCATATAAACATCCCCGCAACCCCAACCGCCAGCCCAAAGACCAGATCATGGAGACTCGACATCCGCACAGGAGAGGCATCATTCCCATTCGCCTCCGCACTAGCAGTCTGCGTGGCAACGCTGCTACAATACCCCAAATTGATACCATGGCAAGCCTCCAAACTCAAGCTCGAGCAAATAGAAGTCGCCTGCGACGAAGCCGTGACAGCCTCAACCGTCACACCTCCCCCAGCGCCGTCAATAGTAACGCCGTAGCGACCCATCAGCGCGCCAGTGCATTGTGTGTACTCCGACTGACACACAGAGTAGTAAGATGAGCAACTCTCAGCATTTCCAAAAGAAGTCGGGACGACGACAAATGGATACGCGGCGTCTAGCGTTGAGCCGGTTGCGGACGTCTCGCCCTCGGTAGTGGTGGTTGCGGTTGCACCGCTGGGGAACATGAACGCGGTGCCTGTGCCTGTCGTCGTTGTTCCTGTTAGACTGCCGGTGCAGCTTGCACCGCTCGCGCAGCAGGCGATGTTGTTGGCGGCATCGCGGGAGCAGTTCGTTCCCTGCTTACAGCATGCGTCGCCGTTACCCAGATCGGTGCAGGGGTTGTAGCCGCTCGGACAATTGTTGTCGGCTCGTCTAAGGATGCGGAGGACTTCGAATGCCCGTTTGTTGGCTATGGCTGCTTCTGCGGCGGTGAAGGGTGCTGTTTTTGTCGAGTGGACGGTCGAGGCGAGGAATGTGGCGGCAATCCAGATCCACCTGGAAGTCCGCATTCTCGGGATCTAGGGCGGGGTTGGAATAGTCGGTTTGGGGAATGGCCTCGAGGTTTTGGTTGAATTGGGTGAGTTTAATGGTTTATTCTCATGCTTCGTTTCGTCGTTGGGGTCGTTATCCGGGGTTGAGCTGGGTGTCAACAAACTACTCGAAAGAGTAAGATTAGCTTTCACCGGTCGCGATGGTGTAATTGAGGACTCGAGACTTGAAAATACCTGGGTACTTGCTGTCTGAAGGGAGATTCGAGGGATTCTAGAAAAGATCGGAGTTTAGAGCACAAATGATGTAGTTCGCAGGTCGCCAGGTCACAAATCTCCACTGGGATGCCCCAGCAACCGCAGCCCGACACTCTAGATCGGAAGCCCAAGCTTAGATTAATTTTTAGGTTAATTTCTATTGACGAGGGCACTGGTAGTAATAGGTAGTAGAATAATTTTAATAACTACTAAAATATAATCTGTGAAACAAAACGTGGACACAATTCGGCACTCGACTACGGAGCACGAAGTATTGAATATACAGCAGCTGAATGGCTGATTGGGCATCTGAATATTCAACAAATGAGTCGGGCATGGATGTTACCAGTCAGGAGCAATCCAGTTCTTCGCACTATCTATATGGAATTGATCAATTGTTCCCTCTACGCCGTCTCTTCCAACCGTCCAAACACCACTTTCTACCAGTTCTCTCCACCGGTCTATCAGCCTCTCCAATCTTTGAGCCCGTCTTTCACCACCAAACGGATGGAAAATACCATGTTGAAAGAGTTGTGTGACAGACCCTGGCGAAATTGATGTCCCATCACTCATTCTCGCTCCGTTGTGATCCCAGAAAGGTAGCAGTAGACGGAAGCCCGCCTCCTCACAATCGTATTGACACCGCCGTACCGACTCACTATATAGCCCCGTTGGAATAAGATCATTCTCGTTGAATGGTATCTCATCTCCGGGAGCAAAGAAAAGCCATCGAATCTCCTCCCCGAAACCGACTGTGCGGCTGCTATCTGCAGCTGCGAAGATTAGGACGGGCGGGATATTGTTGCCCCATTCCTCCTGTTCGCGAGGTACCCCCGTAAACCTCTGCCGAGCCGTGAAAGCCATGGTATCGTGCGGAACCTCCAAGCCGGGCGCAATGGCTCTAAAACGGGGAGTTCTCATTCTCGTCAGAACCGAACGAATGAAGCACTCCTCCGGTATAGACGCCGCATCAAGCTCTACGTCTGTGAAAAGTGGTGCATCTCTGGAGACAGGCAAAAGCGATCCAGAGGGCATTCTGGCTTCGATAGCCGCCGAGTACCGATCTATAGCAGCCACAGTACTGTCAACCTGACTAGGACAATATGGAAGCCAAGACCAAAGCCCGATTTGCGACCGGGAATTTGCCAGTTCTTTGGGCGCTTCGCCCTCTGGTGAATCGGTCGTGATTTTACCGATCCGAAGCATATAAATCCAGTGGGTAAGGATCGTTTCTAGTGGGAACCACATATCCTCATGCTCGCCGATCGGCTCCACACTATCCAGATTTTCGAGGGTCATTGGGAAAGCAGCACGGTGCAGCTGCTGGTCATAGACGACCCCGACACAATGCGAGCCTAACTCAAGCACAGTGCCATAAATAATAACGAATCGTTCCAGATCGTCTAAGTCGTTGTCCTCACCCAGAAAAATATTGTCGACCAACTGCATTGAGATATCATTTATCCAGTAAAAGAAGTCTGGCTCAGGCGAGAATATCGAATCCAGGAAGGAATTCACTGAGGGGTGGAGTCGTTCGCGAACAGCCTGTGTATCTTCGTCTGCGAAAATGAAGGGTTGACTAGCTAACACATCGAGATTGGGCGTCTCTTGTCCGTGGCGGGCCATCCATCCATACGCAACCAAATAGTTGTGTAGCCTCGCACAGCGCTCATAATCGAGGGGACCGTTGAGACGTGCAGGGTTGGCCTCCGACACCAGGGCATCCTCAATGTTGAGAATTTGCTGTGGCGTTGTATTCATGGTGAATTCATGGTATGCTTAGGGGCGCATTGAAAACGGGGCTCAATTCTGCCGATTTTGCAGGTTTATCAACGCCAATACCGTAATTTATGCAAAAACCGGGGTTTCCGGGCCCCAGTCACATGACATGCCTATTTCGACCAGGTTGTCAAGTTGCTGCATGTCTTAAGAGGTGGTGTATCGCCGGACAGATCGATCCGACGACCGATCTATTCGTGGGGGCATGGAACAACGCAGTGGGGAAATTGACTCTTTATTTTCCATTGTTTAGTGCTTTTCCAGCCACTTGTACACCCGGTCTGCGATCTCAAGGTTGTTCTTCTCCATGAAGAACATGTGTCCGTTGCCATGAATACCCTCTTTGCCTAGATCTGCGTACTCAACGTCTACTCCAGCTTGCTCCAGATACTTGACGGTGCAGTAATCGTATGGCGCGTGGAACGATGCTTCGCCTGTAACAACAAGTTCTGGGATTTTGCCCAGGTTTGTCAACTGTTTCGCTGGGGATTTCTGCATGATGCATTGGTCGTGATCAGCGTCAATTGCTGGCTCGATGGTTGTCTCAATATTTTCGGCATTCTCGCCTGCAGACGGTTCGTATCCGATTGCGAGGTCGGTGAGACCGAAAGCGAAAGCTGGGTCATTTCCAAACGGCGGGCGGAGCGTGAACGGCGGACCAGACGGCTCGAGTTGGACAATACCTTTGACTAGGTCTGGGCGCATGTCTCCGACCCTCCAGCCTATTCAATTGTTAACCACCTCAGTGAGTCATAGTGCTTGGCTGAAATTACCATATGCACCCGCCTGCGAATGACTGATGATATAACAGTCACCGACGAGGTCGACTAGAGCTGAATACGCCTGCGCATTTTGTTCCTCGCTTATGAAGCGGTCGGTCTGGAATTGCATCTGGCTCCTGTAGAAAGCGTCGAAAGTTGAGTCGCCAATGCGACCGGTGCCAGGCCATTGCGTGTGAAGCTTCGCCTGTGGCCATTGGTTGTCGTTGTTTGCTACGTCGGTGAAAATATCAGAGACCGAATCGGGGGAGCCGATGTACCCAATACTTCCCTGTCCGGGTGACCAGAAGGAGCGACCGCGTGCGGGCTGATCTGAGAGGTAGACTGTGTGACCCTTGGAGATGAAATAGGATGCCCATCCTGGCCGTCCGTCTGGAGTATCAAGAAAATTGGTGCCGGTCTGAGCCGCGCCTGCAATGAAAATAATGGGAAGTGGTGGGTTCACCGGGGCTGACTGAGGGGAGAGCTTCTCGACGTAAATTTGCCCTATCATAACCATTGATGTAGAATTGGTTGCATTTTCCTGTTTGACGACTTAGATACGCGTCGAATTGGTGGGAATCAAGACTTGCTGTGATGTTCGTGTATCGTCCGCCAACGTAGAGAACCTCGCGCCTAGGAACAATGTCCCTAAGCTGGGAGCCATGAGCTTGCACATTGCCTCCTAGAGAAGCGAAAGCGACATGCGTCAAATATGTGAGGGAAGCCAAGGTGCGAAAGCTCAACATATTAACCCAATCTGCGAAAAGTGAAAAGAGCTCCAGCTCGAATATGTAGTGGATCCGTGTACGAAAGGGTATTCAGGGTCCAAACCCCAGGTTTTGGGGTATTTTGATGCCTGAATTTCCACACCTGCCTTAGTAATCAATGTACACCGCCCGGCTCTGCTAGCATGGCATAAATGAAGCTTTTGATCCCATACAACATACGAATCCAAGTTCGGGTTTTTGCCCTCTAGATATATATATATTGTGCTAATAAGGCTCATTGATGATTATCGACAAAATAAGGCTAAACTAAAAATATCGTTGAGATACAAATGCATTTATCATGTGGTTTGCGGTGACCCGGTCGCTTGTGAAATACATTAATGTACCACAAGGTGAGTCCGCTAGGTGTAGAACCTCTCAGGCATTGAGGGTGTCGACCGGCTCCGGCTGTCGCGACCGGAAGCGCTTGACCAGATTGCTCGTGTTCAGCGCAACCAGCTTGCTCGTCGGCATCAAGAACAACTCGTCGATCTCCTCCAGCGTCTTGTCCTTGGTCTCGGGCATGAAGAACAACTGGTAGAAGAAGCCTAACGCGGCCAACCCACCGAAGAAACCAATCGTCAGGCCGGTGTAAGTCATCGCCTCCTGCATTCCCTCGAAGTTGTATGTCACGATGAAAGACCATAGGTAAAGGAATGTCGAGCAGATTGCCATGCCCTGACTACGGGTGTTGAAATCAAAGCTCTCCGCTGGGACGACCCAGGTCAGACACGAATACGCTCCGAAGAAGCCCATGTATATCACGAGGCCGGAGAAGAACAAGCCCAAGGCAGTTGCTCTGTGCTCATTGAAGTAATCGACGCCGTTATTTGTGTAGAGGTAGCCGACACCCACCAGCACCAGGCCGACGATGAACATGAGGATGTTTTGTGCCCACACGCGTCGTCCGAATCTGTCCATGGTGAACACGGCAGGAACCGTTCCAAAGAACAGCGCACCTCCGCCGACCATCGACATCAGCACTGACTCGCGGTCACTGAAATTCATCTTGGCCATCAAGTTTGACATGTTGTACATCACTGCATTGATACCCGTCATCTGTCCGAAGAAGATCATTGCCGTGGCATAGACAAGCGCCCGTCTGTTGCGCGGCTGCGTGCACACTTGCATGTATCTATTGTACCATGCCTCGCTGGTGGTCGCGTCGACATCATGCTTGACTGTGATTTCCATCGCAATGAACTCGTCCAAGCTTTTGGGGTCGGCCATATCGTGCAGCGACTTCCACACCTGCCACGCACGGCCAGTCTTGTTCTTGGATACCAGCCAACGCGGTGATTCAGGCAGGAAGCACATTCCGACCAAGAGGATTGTCGAAAACAAGAGAGACGAACCCAGCATCCAGCGCCAGCTGCCTGACCGCACGTCGAAGAACACACCTCCGGCCGCGTATCCAATGATCTCTCCGAAGGCGATCATCAGCTGGTACACAGACACCAGGTTGCCACGCACCTCAGGTGGCACACACTCGGAGATGTAGATGCCGACACAGCCGCCTTCAATTCCGATACCGATGCCCAGAATGAATCGGCCCGCAAACAGCATTCCAACGCTGCGGCAGCCGGCACAAAGTCCTCCTCCCAGTGTGTACCACAAACACGAGATGATAATCGAGTTACGGCGTCCAAAATAGTAATTCAGCGGCGTCATCATGACCGCGCCGGCCATAGCGCCTAGCGGCATCAGCGAGGAAATCAGCGAAATGTCGGTTGCCAGTTTCGGGTCCTCGAGGCTCGTCCAATCGCCTGAGGCGATGAAGTGCTTGCGGATGCCAGGCAGCGCGCCGGAAATAACCGACTGGTCCAAACCACTCAGCATGCCGCTAAAGGCGGCGAAGACACCCAGCGTAAGGACTAGCATGCGAGGACTCTTCATGTACACTGGTATTTGTGCGAACGCTATCCGGTCATACAGTGATTCGCTGCCGAGATACTGCTGGGCCTGTTGATCGCGTGCCTCGATCTCGTGCTCACGCTCCTCGGGCGTGAATTCATCGCTGAACTCTTTGCCCACGGTGTCGGGCTTTTCCTCATATTTGTCGTGCATTTCGTGTGGATCGTATCAGTCATGCAACAAAAATTAACTTGTATGGGATCAGAAGAGAAAGAGAAGAGAAACCGACGAGACGGCCCGAATGGCGCTCTATATAAGGGCGTATTTCGCCGAAAAGCCTTTCTGCGGGATGCTGTACTTCTCCTCAATTTCCCCGACATTCGGCCTGGACCCCACAATTCGCCAGTGCACCCAATGAGTTCCTTGCTTTTCTTTCTCGTAAAAGTTAGTAGCATGTGTATCAACTAGTATTGTTGTGGGGTTTAAATACAGGGAATGTTGCGTGTCAGGTCCAACATTTCCGATCGCTACCCCAGCATCCCCACGATAGCAATTCGTCTAACGACTATCAAGCCCAACCCAGACCATCAGAGAAGAAGTTTTCGATTATAACGAGAGTGGAAGACTGGGAGCTACGACCTTTCGAAAGGCCACTAAATTTCAGGTCAGTCAAAAAAAAATATAGACCCTGTCCTTCTCATGACATTTTTTGGTAAGACCGGAATGGCCGGAACACCACGAGGATGTTTGGCTCGATCAAGTAATAGATGAGCAACGCCTCAAAACTCTGAGACAACTCAATAAAAAACCTCCCTCGCCCCGGTCGGGATGACCTCGGCACGGGTGAAGTTCACGGACTTGTACGGTGTTGTACCTAACAACTGCCGATTCGGACGGTTCGGCTAGACCGGGGTTGGCTGGGGCCCCTCTTGTGCGGAATACGGAGTAGTAGTTTACGGAGTACGGGGTACTCCGTAAAGCACATGATACAGCCAAACCCGATCGGCGCCGAGAAAAGTTCGCAAAGCCGGAGCGCTATACCTAATTAGGAAATCATTGCGCTCCTCTCTATGGTGGAATAAACCGGGACCATGCATTTCTCCAAAGTGACCGGGGTTTACAAGAAAGTGGGGTACATTTCAACGAGGTCTGACTGTACACTTGTATTATTCTGGAATTCTATGTGTCATGACCCGGTATTTATGCCCTGAAACGAAGTGAGAGAACTGGAACTAATCGTGTACATGTGCACGAGACGTTGCAAAAAAGACATGGCTTGACTATCGAGTACTAGGACTGAGACCTGTTCCATATTTTGCACGGAGTGGCTATGCTTTCGAGAGTCTTCTTCACTTGAATTTGCTTGGCATTAAGGGGCGCAACCGTTCAAGGTTGCGATCATTGGCTGGAAGGTCTCTAATCCGGATGTGGCTTGCGAAATGAGCAGATTGAAAATGCTGATCAACAATGGCAGCCGCCTCTGACCTCATTGTCTGTGGTTCCTCGCTTGCGTTGGTCTAGAAGTGGATATTGCCAACCTATGTGCTCATTCATGGTGGTGTGCATTGATGTCTGTCAGCTGTCTAATCAGAAATTTCCTAGTTAATGAGTTCCCTCGAGTGTGGCCTGGGGGTCATGTTGTGCTAACTTAAGTTTCTCCTGAGAGGTTACCAATCACACATTATGTTGCCCCTCGAATAAACTAGGCTAGGTCGCCCGTTGCCCAGGAATAGCTTGGTGACCGGGAAGCATATCGATCCTCGAACCCTTTTAAGAGGTCACCACATATGTTAGACTGACCATTACACGTACGATCAAACTAAATCGGTTATTGATTCAAGTATAATCAAACGGTTCGTAGCTCATGCCCATGTCAGTGTTGACCGACGAACTAAACATGTGTGGTGATAGAACTGGATGGCACCTGGTGAGAATCTATTTACTCTAGGCCTTCTGTATTTACTCTGAACAACTGACCAGGTGTTTAATGGACATTATTGGTAATACAGCACGGAATTCTCCACCGAAATCTATCACACATCACATGCATTTCTTAATATACTGGGGACGCCGCTGACGCACGCAGTTGTAGCGCCCCAGAACGGCTGCCGGTGCTGGCGGCCAGCTGGCAGAAAAGGGGGAGTTGTATCCGGTACCAAGAAGGAAAAGTCATCTCTATCGTGAATAGTATCACTCTGGCAAACTCCGCCACATCCTCGACATACATGGCCGCTTTCGGTCAGCCTTTGAGGGGAAGTTTCTTTTCTAGAACAATCGCAAGTACCTATAGAACGCCAGTCACCTATACGGAGTAATCCATGCCGAAATCGATACTCAATCGGCATCTCACATTGCCGGATCTCCACTTAGATATATTTACGAAGCTTATGTCCAACCTCGGTCTTATAAATCGGATACCACCACTTCTAGAACAAGTCGAGCGAGCTTTTAGTTCTCACTCCTAGGGTTCAACGTCTATCCTTTCCACGCCGTTAGTCCCACCGCTAAGAGAAGAGTCTTAGGAAGCGAACTGTCTCCTCTATATAAGAGAGTCAGGACGAACATTCCACAGGGCCGCCCTTTATGCCATTATAGAACCTAGAACAATCAACGAACCTAGTAATGGAAGCGGGATGTTACAATGATGTCTCACCTATCCTAAATTCTTACGTCTCATCTATCTCTTGAGTTTTCGGGCTAGCGTTTCTATCAGAGCGTGGGGGTATATATTACCCAACGCCACTATATCCAACAGCAACGTATGACTTTGAAGTAATCTTGCTTCACTAGTTACATTTCATCGGTTCATTATATATGCTGGTCCTTCGTAGTAGCCATCGCCATCTACTGACTGGGGCATATAATCAACAACGTCCCACCGACCTAGTGCTGGTCTATAATCAAATGACCGAAATTGACAGGAAGTTCCCCGCCCTCACTCGATGGCCTTGCAGCATAGACACCAACCCATAGGTCCTTTATATTTTCCTCTTCAAAAACCCAAGTGACCTCCCGGATAGGAGACTTTTCCAAGCCCTCAACAGAATAGATCCACAGACTTCCATCCTCTTCTTTAACTAGTTCAAGAGTTGCCGTACCACTACCCATGGCCCCGGGCACTGGAAGCAAGCTCCAGTCCGCCCAGTTGTCTTTCGCAACGACGCTGAGGTGGGGTTTACCGTGGGTGAATTCAATACCGCACTTCACCCACTTCTGCCCCCCATCGGCGATATTTAGGACAAGGACCACACCGCCCTGGTCATATTTCTTCTCCCAAACGGCATTGACAGCGATGCGGATCCGCTTGAATGCCATGAGAGGTATAGATTTGTATAAGATAGGGGCCGAGAAGGAGATGGTGGAAGGCGGTTTAGCCCATATATCCGTGGAAGATGGTGCTTTGATAGTAAATTCTAGGGGAGGAGAACCGTTGCCTGGAACTTCGGCGTCCGAGTTGGCGAATTTGAATTGGGATTGCGACATGGTGGGCCGTGGAATGCGACGAAGCAGTTGTATAATCAACCACTGATATTTGAACAATGGTACAAGTGAAAGATTGAAGATTTGAGGAAGTCAGCACAGAGAGTCAGCGGAAAGATAAATGACTTTGTCCTGGTGCGAGCAGAAGAGACACGATGGGAAGGGCTCGAACTGGCCTGGGGGATGAGGTATATCTTGTATAAGGTCTCACATCAGCCTGGGAACTATTAGGAAGACTGTTATCCAACCAATGATATTTAAACCTATCTCTTTCACTGCGTTTAACAACAAAATAAATGAATAAATTAGTTTACCATAGATGGATGATGCTTTTGGTGCGCATCGCGTATCAACCAGACTCCGAATCCTAATAGATAAGCCGCCGGAGATCTCAATTTTCATAGGCCCTAAGGTTCCACGAGCCCACCTTCCATATTAGGCAATTCCACATTGGTAATAGTTACAAGGAGGACCAGTGGCATACACCAAGGCAAGTGCCGAAACATTCAATTTGGGTAATTTGATGAGAATGGAATACAAGATGAAAAAAGAAAGCCTATTGTGGAAAGAGGGACTCCATTTTAGAGGCGTGCTAGGTGAAAACCAATTGTTTTAAATGCCTTTCTGTCACTACAGTCACTCTTATAGAAAAGCCATACTGGTTTCAGTTCAGAGTTAGAGCAACTCGGTCTTCACTGTCTTCACAAGAAGCAATTTTAGGACAAAGAACATTCGCAATGCCTGAGAAAACTGTAGTCGTCATTGGGTGAGCTTTTTCCTTGTCCGGAAATATTTGAGAGAGCACAAATCTGACGTATTTGCAATATTATAGTGCCGGGGTAGCTGGGCTCACAACCGCGCTGCTGCTGTCCAAGTGCCCAGGCTATAAAATCATTGTCGCCGCAAAGCACATGCCCGGAGACTACGACATCGAGTACGCCTCACCATGGGCTGGAGCCAACTACATGCCGTAAGTCGGAATAATTGGCCACGGACAAGACCGTAACTGACAAGATTTAGTGTCTCGATTCGCGGGACAGAAGCTGCGGAATGGGAGAAAGCGACATGGGCACCGCTCGAAGACCTCGCGAGGAACCATCCTGAAGCGGGTGTTCACTTCCAAGGCAAGTTAAAGGCTTTATTTTAGTCAATTAGCAATGGCATCGACTAATTTGATTGAAGAATGTGAGATTCATCGTCGCGAAAAAGATGCCGGCTCGGCAACGGCGGATTGGTTTGCTGAGCTCCTATCCCCAGAGCCTTGGTTCAAAGACACTGTGCCAAATGTAAGGAAACACTTCTTCACCTAATATCATGTTTTCATATTCACCAGTTTGATTATTTAGTTCCGTCCGCTTCCAAAGTCATCGCTCGGCCCCGGTGTCGATGCAGGAACGGTCTTCACGTCGGTCTGCATAAACACGGCGATATATCTACCATGGCTCGTGTCTCAGTGTCTTAAGAATGGTGTTACTTTCAAGCGCGCTGTGTTTAGTCACATCTTGGAAGCCGCGGGGCCGAGCGTCTGCCCCGGGAAGGTCGATTTCGTCGTCAACTGCACTGGTCTCATGGCATCGAAGCTCGGCGGCGTGAAAGACAAGACTGTCATTGCGGCTCGTGGCCAGATTGTGGTGGTACGCAACGAGGCTGGAAAGATGGTCGATGTTTCGGGAACCGACGACGGCGATGGCGAGGCATGCTATGTGATGACAAGGGCGGCTGGCGGAGGGACCATCCTAGGCGGTTGCTATCAGAAAGGAAACTGGGACCCCCAGGTAGATCCAAACCTCGCTATCAGGATCATGAAGCGGGCTGTGGAGCTGTGTCCTGCGCTCACCGGCGGCCAGGGAATCGAGCACCTGGACATTGTCCGACATGGCGTTGGGCTACGACCAGTGAGAGAAGGTGGGGTGAGGATTGAAAGGGAGCGAGTAGGCGATCTATGGCTGGTTCATAACTACGGCGCCGGTGGTGCCGGATACCAATCGTCGTACGGATGCGCGCAAGCTGCCATAAGACTCATCCAAGACGCCGCGGGACCACAGTCCAGATTGTAAAATTAGCCAGTAAGACCAAGCAAGCCACTAGTTAGAGTTAGCATAGCTCCACTAATAGCTAAGAAATCAGTCGTCTCGCCACATTAGCGGGGGAGTTGATTGGAAACCCCCAGTTACTATCTTTCTTCCTTATCAGTCACCTCCGTAAAACATACGTCCTCTCGTGATTATATGTTTCCTTCCTTGTAAACCAATTTCAACCACACGGCATGGGTCCATCTGGGAATCGCACTAATTCTCTCGCATTCGCCAAGAGCGATTGCCACACTTGTGCGGCTCTTAAAGAAGGCTGCGACCGTCAGCGCCCTCGGTGCGGCACATGTATATCAAACAGGAGAGCATGCGGCGGCTTTGCCATGGACCTCGTTTGGAAAGAGCTGCCAGTTGTTAATCATGGGCCATTGCCCAGAGGCCGCGAATCTGGATGCAGCTCCAAGAGAGATCCGCAGCACACCTTCAAGTTCACGCAAGGTCGCCCGAAAAGACGGCGGAAACCGAGGCAATCGAATACTGTTTACCAGTCAATATTGGATCTGGGTCTAGATGATTCCCTACGCCATGATGGGGCAAACTTTTTGAATACTACTGGCAAGGCCAGCCTATCATTTCCTTCGACACCTCAACCATCGAGTCCTGAGGAACTGGGAATCAGCAAAGATTGCAGTAGCCAATCCAATGAGTATATGATCTATCAGCTGCAAAATGAGGCGCATCTGTCTCCAGGTTGGGAAATGGGATTAGGAACTATGGAATATGTTGATGGAAATCCGATTGATGCATCCTGCCCAGACACGATAGAGCAGGCTCAGCTTCCTACCCAACTTACTCTGGACCCAGACCAAGAAACTTCGCCGGGCATTATTGGCAATCTAAATCAAGCGGGCGGTGACCTCGCTGAAGAGCTGTTTCCTATGACAAATCTTGAAAGTTTATCGAATTGGGCCACAGAACAAGATACCGATAATCCCGTGCTCGAGGAAGATATGCAACCCATATATCCAATAAAATATCGCAACCTAGCTCACAAGTATGAGCCAATTCTCGCTATATGTACGTATACACACTTGCAGATTCCTTGCAACGTCCTTCCCACTAAATATTTACAGACGACGAGAAATTCTGCGTCATGCCGCTCACCAGGGATTGTCGTATCAACCCCTTCAGAGCTCAGACTGGAAATCTCGAAAACTACGACTTTCTTCTGCATGCGATTGTAGCCCTTTCTTTCCATCACCTCTCGAAGATGAACAACACCGATGATTTGATACTCGAAATGCACCATCACCGATCTACTGCTCTTCATCTCTTCAGCCACGCCTTAAGCCAGCCGACTTCCCTGCCACTTCTTGATACCCTCCTGATACTCGTCAGTATAGAGGTATATTTTGCCCTATAATCATTTGCCGGAATATAATCTGACATATCCTCAAGGTCTGCCAGTCCGCGTTCGGTGCGTGGGGAGTACATCTGAATGGCGCTCAAAAACTTATCACGGAACGGAAGGATATGGAAAGAGGTTTCTGTGATTCTCGCATGCGTGCGCAGCTGGCGATGCTCATATGGTATGTCTAGACGTCTTGCTCACCCTGACCATCGTTCTCTGTTCCGTCTGACACCTCGGCAGGTGGGACACGACAATTGCGCTCATGTCTCGAACCGAGCCTCGTTTGCCGTTCTCCTTGTTGGAGAGACTGAGAGGGTTCGATGACAGCGATGGATGGTCCTGCTTCGGCCTAAACGGGTGTCCGTTTGAACTGATCTCCATCATGGCGCGCCTTGCAAAGCTGGCATGCATATATCAAAGGACCATCCAGATGGAATGGACCATTTTTAACTTCCGCCCCGTCAGAACCATAATCACTGAGGTAAAAGGGTATGTCAACAAAGAGAAAGTCGAATGGGACGAATTGAACGACCTTTCCGAAGACTTCAATTTGCGACGCAATCGGTACTACTGCATCGAAGCATGGAGGCATGCCATATTGCTCTACATCTATCGTGTCTTCACGAAGAAGCCGGACGATCGAGAACTCCGCATGATTGATTATTTTTCTCGTGTTATAATTGACTGCGTACGGTGCATGCCGTGCTCAGACACCACCCAGAAGCAGGTTCTCTTACCTGTGTTTCTAGCCGCCGCAGAAGTTGGCGACGAAAACACCCGTTCTATGGTTCGCGAGTATTGCAATCACTGGAGAGATGTATCTCGAATATATCATTTTGAAACGGCGTCTTCTCTGTTGGACAGCATATGGAAGGACTGGGATCCTTCGACGAGAAGTTCATACTGGTGGGGACTCAAGGTTGGCCCGCAAGATTGGATGACGGGAGATGTTAAAGGTCAATCTTTGGTGTTTGAGTTGCTCTTAGGATGATCATAGGATTTTTAGTGTATAGCTCTTTAACGACAAGATTCTAGTTTCTCATTCCAATTTGATGTAGCAGAAATATCTCCTTTTTGTCACATTCACAGATAGAAATACCGCTATTCTTAGGCTGATCGCTACAATTTCCATTATCTTAGCAGATATACGAGGATCCTTCTCCCCATACCTTCCAAATTGTACTTGACGTACAACAGGAACATTGCATTGGTGTGGGCAATGACTTCCTGAAACAGAGCGAGAGCCGTCCCGGAGTACGTCCCGGAGATTGGTTCATGAGCGGAAATACTATAATCCGCTCCAATATACCGACAGACTTCCCTCCCATGTCTATCATCTTGAATCGAGTACTCTTTCCAAAGACCTGGCTCGCATCAGACAAAAACTGCTCAGAGTATCTTATATATAAATCAAGTGATTTTGTGAAGCTTCTTTAGAATTATATCTGCATCATGACATGCAAAACATATTGGCGGAGAGTAAGACCCAAATCAGCTATTCAACTTATTGTGGATCATTGGACTATAGAGAGGTTATAAGTATTTTCGATCTCTAATGTACAATATAGGAAAACAAGCTGACTGTGGGTAAAACATGAAAATCATAGTCAGCCAACAGATCATAAGCACAGATTTAATCCCTTTCTAGCTTCACTTCGCCCTTATATGCCCCGATATCTTTTTCTTTCACGCCATCATTGTCTACCAAGATACCTTCAATAGCTTCTTCTCTCCTAGCGTTGAGCATACCGAAGTCGACCCTTGGTCCTTTGAAAATCCCCTTCTTGGTGGCATGCCATAGCACAATCACAAAGCAAACAAGTCCAGTACAAACGACTGACACATAACTCATATTCTCGGGGGTCACAGGCATCTCAGTGGGGAAACAGTAGATGATATCGAGGAACACCACCCACAAGACTGAAATCGCATTGATAGTAGACCCGTACCGGCCGAGATCAAAATAGCGTGCTGGAAGGACCCGATCGCGGCCGCGCCATAGCAAAACAGCCTGAGGAAGGACGCAGGACGTTTGAAGAAACACGACGGCTGCGTTGACCATAGCCGAGAAAGCAGTGGAGGATCCAAGGAAGATGAGTCCATATAGCTATTGAAGTTGTTAACTGAGAGTGAACAAAAAGGGTTGAGAAATGTATCATACCGAAACGAATACCGCAGATAATAGAAGAGCATGGATGGGAACTTGCATACCAGGATGTACACGTTGCCAATACCCAGAGTAAGGCAGCGCTCCATCACGGGAAACGGCCCATATTGTGCGTGATGCCGTAGTAGCTGCAAAAATATCGTCAGACAAACTTCAAATAACTTTTCACAACCACATACCATTGGCCACCAAGTTACTAAAGAAAAGAAAGGCGAAGAAAGCCATGAGAATCGAAGCTGCCACTCGAGAGCCCGTTCCGTTGTAGTAGATGTCAAACAGGGGAAGGCCGGTCACAGTGTGGAGTACTGCATCAATATCAGGGGTTGCGTATAGCAGAGCCGCAGCGAAGGGTAAAGTTGTAACAAAGCCTGCTAGGAGCGGGTAGATCATGACCTTGGGCACATTCTTAGACGGGTTAGGAATCTCCTCGCACATGTGAGCACCACAATCGCTACCCAGATAGGCGAAAACCGAGTTTGCCACGGCGAGCATGAAGGCAAATCCATCGGAAGACCAGCCCGTCCGGTTCGTGGTATCGGTAAAGATTGCAGAGCCAGAGGCGTGGTCCTTCGTGACGACGAACAACACAATCGTCGTGGAGGTCAGTGTCAGCACGGCCAAGACAAACATCAGCTTGTTATAAAGAGGAATCCAGTTTGCCATCAGGATATTGATCGCCGCCGCCAACCAGATCAGACAGACATAAATCAGATACGCGTGCCATTGCTTTGGGTCATAGTCCGGATACCAGGCGACGGTAATATCGAGAACCATGGAGGCGACGAAATTGGCGACAGATCCAGAAGAGAGCCACCAACCGATGACACTCATCCAGCCGTTTCTGAACAAAAAAAAAAGATTAGCAAGATAGATTTTAACAGGCAGTTCGAGGAGGAGATGCAATTACACAAATGAAGCGAAGGGTCTATAGTCTTCTCGTGCAACCATAAAAGACCAGTAGTACTGGGCACCTGCAACTGGGTATGCAGAGGCTAGCTCGGCCATTCCAATTGAAACTATCGTTGTCATGACCCCAGCAATTGGGAGAGCCCAGATAGTACCGCCTGACGAAGCCTCTGTCAAACCGATACCAATCGCCGAACCAGTGCCTAGCCACGTGCATGTCAGGGTAAAAGACAAGGCTCCTAGAGACCATTTAGAGAACCGGCGAGGCATAGCGGCCTCATAGCCAGCGGCCTCGAGCTCGAGATCATCAATGTTCGTCATAGTTCAGAAGCGTCCAAAGAATGTAGAAAAATAACTGATCGAAAGGATATTATAAGGAAAGAAGCTTCGTTTTTAACTCTTAGCTACCTGTGTAGATAGTTATCAGCCGTTACCGTGGTGCTTGATGTCTCTTCGCAAGAGGGAGATAAGAGGGCATTCTAGGCATCTGAGAAATGCCTCTTTCCATTCTTAGAAGGAGATATTGTACTTGATCCTAGATCAATTCCATACTGTGATCAAATTATCTTTGCCTTCATGTCTTATCGTGGCTGACAATACGAATGATCGAAGGGTGCCCAGAAGCGGAAGTACCCAATTAGGCAAGCGGGCTTGTCTGCGTTCCCGCTCGGCTTTGTGGCGAATCCCGAATCTCGGTTCTGCCTCCTGCGGTCGAATCACATCCCACGCAGACGACCCATCCTATTCTGCCGATTTAGGAAATCGAGGCCCGTCATGTCGTCGGAGATAAGCGCTGTCGATCGCCAGGATTAGCAAAATGGCTTCCCCAGAACAATATTATACTGCTTTAGGAAGGAGAGGAGATCAGCAGTTGAGCCTCGGCATCAGAACCCCCTCGCAGCCATTAAAGCCTATTTAAAGGTGTACCTGTGTGACGGTTGATAACACCATCTTCTATCACAAACTCTCTTCTTCTTTTCTCAACTCCGTGTGGTTGTCTTTTACCCTCTATTCTCCAAAATGACTTCGATGAATGAAATCTTCGGCGCCTACGCTGCACGAAAAGCTGTGCTTGAAGCCAGCAGTAATCCCTTTGCCAAGGGTATCGCCTGGGTTGAAGGAGAGCTCGTTCCTTTCCATCAGGCTCGCATTCCTATGATGGACCAGGGATTTCTGCATGGCGATCTCACCTATGACGTGCCATCAATCTGGGATGGGCGTTTCTTCCGTCTCGACGATCATATTTCTCGGCTGGATGCTAGTTGCGGCAAGATGCGAATGCAGCTTCCGCTGCCAAGGGAGGAAATAAAGCGAATCCTTGGACAAATGGCCACCACGAGCGGAATAAAAGACGCTTTTGTCGAGCTGATCGTCACTCGGGGCCTCGTTGGCGTTCGTGGCTCTACGCCCGAACAGCTCACCCAGCAGAATCTCTATATGTTCGTCCTGCCATACTCCTGGGTTATGGAGCCAGAGATGCAATATGGAGGTGGTAGCGCCATAATTGCTCGCACTGTTCGGAGAACCCCCGTTGGCTGTTTCGACCCAACCATCAAGAATCTGCAATGGGGCGACCTGACTCGCGGAATGTTTGAAGCCTCGGACCGCGGCGCTACATACCCTTTCCTCACTGATGGAGATGCAAATCTCACGGAAGGCTCTGGATTCAACATCGTTCTCATCAAGAACGGCGTTCTCTACACACCCGAGCGTGGAGTCCTCGAGGGTGTGACCCGCAAGAGTGTCTTCGATGCGGCACGCGCCAATGGCATTGAGTTCCGTGTAGAAATCGTGCCGGTTGAGTCGATATATCACTGCGATGAGCTTTTCATGTGCACCACTGCTGGTGGTATTATGCCAATCACCGTGCTAGATGGAAAGCCTGTGAATGATGGCCAGGTTGGTCCCATCACCAAGTGCATCTGGGATCATTACTGGGCGATGCATTATGATTCGACCTACAGCTATGCTCTTAACTACGATAACTCCGAGAAGCCATCAGACGCTGGGCGCCAACAGAGACTTTAAATCAAGCCTTGCAATTGGTCAAATGTTCTTAGGAGAATCAGTTAGCCTATATGAAACTTGTGCGGCTGCATCCTTATCTTGTTACAAGAGTAGTAGTAAATCTCTTTTCTCGTCTAACCATTGTGTCAACGCTCTGGCAAATAGGCATGTATTGTCTAAATCTCCGAGTCTCGCGTCGACCTTGAACGTCCACAAACTGCTCTTCAAAAACATCATAGGAATCTGGAAATCTAGTAATACGTTACCACGACCGACCTGAAATTCACAGGCAGCGCGAATAGTGAGGTACGCTATATCATTGAAGGACGTAGTTTTTGACGGCAATATAACGGCTTTTTTGTCGTCGCAACTACCATCCGAGTAGACGATAAAGCTGCTCACAGAGAGGGTCGCATTGACGAAGCCCTCGTCAATATATATTCAACCCAAGCCACAATCTCTGAAATAGCGTTGAACTCTCGCTTATCTACTTTGGGACATTGCGAATACGAACAGCGAGCAACTAGTTAATCACATTTTTACTACTATAAAGACTCTTTAATCATCGTATAAAAGTGACTAGATTGCCCAATAAATCCATCTCACGAGGAAGGCTGCCCCGTTCAGCAGCAGAAAAAGAGACAAGCCGAATCCTTCAATCAAATCTTTCTCCCAACCACGACATAAACATCAAAGCAATAATAGCAACCTAGGCTGTGCAAGTCACTTAGCATAGCCTCCCTCAGACTTACAATCTGATCCATGGATTGTATTTCATTCAACTTGTGCATTTTGAAAGCAGCAGTCAGAACATGCTGGATTCCGACAACGACCGTGAGATTGAGGTCTTCCCGCGTGGCCGGGTTGTCAAGAGTGTAGATCCGCTCTTCACAGGATTCCAGTCCAGATTTCTGGAAAGTGCCACGAAGGGTAGCAATACTAAAGGGAGTTAGCCTCTCTATTTAGTCCCTGGTAGTCAAGCTTACTTTGGTGTTTTCCCAAGCGAAACAAGAGTCCTAAGGAATAAGTCGGTTCCATATCGTGCATCAGTGGCTCGCTTCCCCTCGGGCTCTCCTTTGATTGCACACTCATGTGCGGCACAATCTATCCACTGTAAATAACCCCCTGGCTCTGCTCGGTATTACGTTAGATCTTGGATTAATCGAAGCTAAGATGGGAAACTCCGTACTGAGAAGTGTCATCAAGTTTCGCACGGCAGGCTCCCACTCGTCAGAAGACAATGCTACCACCATCACTCGAACATTGACGACATCATATTCCCCTAGATACTCATCTGGGAATGGCTCAAGAAAATTTTGATGATGGAAGGTGATATTTTCCGGCAAGGCATCCTTGTGGGGAAACATGACGTCTGAGAGGTCAAACCCGTCAAGCTGACAAGTACTTGGGAGGGCAGCTGCGAGCTCACGTAACCAGATCCTTGGAAAATAGTGTTAGGGCTTTCTTCTCTTAATGGAGTTGTTACTCACCCAGTTCCTGTACCGACATCTGCAATGCGCATACGATCATGTTGTTTGATGGCTGGATGAAGGAGATACCCAATATTGGCTTGCCAGGCTTTATATTGCATATTCAGTCTGTATTCCATGTTAATATTACTAGAGGGTTGAATTGCTGCTGAGTTTTCCACCTGTCGCGTTCGGCTATGTTCCTAACCAGTAAATATTCACCGTGAGATTGGACTTGGTCGGACATTTTCATATGTCGAAAGCGATATGATCTTGAAACGGTTGAATCAGATTAAATTCGTGCAAAGTTCCAGCAGTATAAGCTCTTTTATAATGGCGAGATTTAGCTTTGAAGGGCGGATTTGGGGGCTTGGTGGCGGTAGTAAGCATAAATGTTAGTCAGGCCTCCGATCCAGGCCTCCCATCTAGGCCTCCCATTTCGGCCCCATGCAGGATTCTATTAAGTTATAGACCTCGAACGGTCTCTGTCTTTGCAACAGCCAACTAGCTGAGAGGATGTTCAGTCAGCGGTGGTAGATCTCGTATTTTTTGGAGTACTTATATGACCCATCAAACCAACGGCACCTCTCTAGGGCCCGAGCGATTGAGCTGAGTGGTTGGGGCTATAACTTGAACTCACATGTGCGGAGGTGATAGACGTCATCCTGGTCATCAATTGCCATTTTCACCATAAAGTTCACGACTCGGTGTGTATTATCAATTCTAGCGCCCAATCGCGATGAGGGAGCAGCAATTCCCACCCCGGAGGTGTATGGGGTGCACCTTACTCCAGTTCTAATTACTGTATGTCAATGTAGCAGGGCCTTGGGGGTTGATATTATTACTACTAATTGCTGTATGCCTCAAATTTACACCCAAGCATAAAAAGTGGAGGTCTGTGAATAGTCGCGCCGCGAAGCCGAGGCCTATATGATCTTCTGATATCCTGTAAATATCACAAAATGAGGACTTATATGCAGCTCTGGTAACTAGTATCAATCATTGACTCGCCCTTTTGATTCGAAAATAATCATTGGGCACTTTCCCTCGATTCGTCTAGACGCTGTTGTGCTCGTTCCAGCTTTGTTTGCCCCATCCTCTTTGCCTGTCTTCTTGTAAAAACCCAACCTTACGGAATATTATTCAATGCATTCAAGACACTTTAGTGTACTTCTCATCTATCTCTTTCGATCAAGACTCCATACCTAACCTTGGCGCCGATCACTCCACCTGACTAAGAGCCGATCTTGGCGCGCCGAAATGGATCAAAGTCGCGTCCCTCAACAGGACGCCGACCGCGTGGCCACCATGTACGGCGAACTCGGCAACAAATTGGTACGTGGGCTATAGATTCATCCCGCTCTTGGGCATTTATCATCTCAACACAGACCGACCGTATAATATCAAAACAAGAGAAAACGAAACCCGCTGACCAACAACTCACGCGCAATAGGTCCAACACGCCAAACGCACCCAATCCCTCGCCCACCTACCCCCATACCAAACCGAAATCGTGCGCGCAGTAACCCGGGAAGTCCGCGATCTCGACCGCGATGTCATCCGTCTCCTAGCACCCTTCGAGGGCGCGTTCAACCCCTCAGCCGACCCAGCCATCGCCTGCGCGCTCCTCGTCGACCACCTGTGCATGCGCCGGAACAAGCGCTGCCTGCTTGCGTATCACCGCGTGCGCACAGACAAGCTCGAGGAGCTTTGCTGGACGGGCGTGGATATCCTCGAGCAGCAGCAGCCGTCCGATGACAGCGCGGCGCCGCAGCACACGGCTCTCGGGGCGAACGGGCATAGCTCGCTGAGTCCCGAGGAGGAGGAGTATTTCCGCCAGTACGGGGATATGCTTGCTGCGTATAAGGGCCAGTGGACGGATGTTGATTTGACGGGGACGCTGGAGCCGCCGAAGCATTTGTTTATTGATGTGCGGGTGTTGAAGGATGCTGGTGAGATTCAGACGGAATATGGGTATGTTTCTTTTCTTTTGTCTCCTGCATTTTCTGGGTGTTCGGTGGCTAATTTGGGTTTAGGGTGATCAACTTGACCAAGAACAGTCAGCTGTATGTTCGTCAAGGTGATGTGGAGCGTCTGATTGCGCAGGGTTTCCTGGAGCGATTGACTTGAATGTGAGCCGGAACTACCTGGCTGCTTCGGGTTTTATATGAGTACAAGAATTATATGAGCAAAAGAAATATGAGTTAGCGTTGGATATCTACAGTGGTTTTGTGACGGGACCATGGACTTTGAGATACCCCCGCCGTTAAGACATCGGCCAAAATGAAGATTTTCTGCATTGCAATAGTGCGAGTCTAATTATGTATGACTGTTGGTTTGATCAATAGCTTTTTTACTCGAATTACTCTCTAGGGGTAGATTGGCCCATGGTAAAAGACCAATTGGAGCGATGACCATAACTAGTTATCTCGTTGGCTGGCGTTATGCAAGGAAACAAGGCTGCGGCTGCATGTCGATGCCGATCATGCGGCGCATACTGTGTTCCGACCACGGAGCTGTAGCATGTTGTATACTATTTCTATTACGTATGATTATCGAAGGTCTAGTTAGTCTAGAGTTAGCGCAATTGAAGAGACAACCTATTATATCTCTCGAAGACCCGTTCCCCTCCGCTCTCATTAAAAAGGTAGAATGCTACGGAGTACTCCGTAGAAATACCCATTAGTAGTACCATTTAGCCCATGATCGACCCGACCGCACTTCCCCTCTATGCTTAATAGAATAGATCAATCTAGTCGATCCCACTAATTTAAACCTCTATCTTAGCCTGTAATGCACGGAACTAGTAGTCATTGTAGGCCGATGTACTCCGTGATAGATTAATTAATCAAGCCTTGCAACCTAGAAAACTAGGCACCTCAAAAAGTGGGGGTTTGAATTGGTAACCTGGGATGTCAACCAAAGGGTTGACATTGTAGTCTTTTCCGTAGAACGTTGGTAGGTTCTTCCTGATTGATCTAAAAGAAAATGGGTAGGTAAGAGAATGGTGAAAGAGCTATAGCAACTGAGAGGTAACTGAGAGCAAACTCTCTATCCTAGGCCTTACCCTAATTTAGTCAGTTCCATCATTTACTCTCACTGACGAGTTCTAATCCTATACATCGCACCGTCCTTCTTCTCTCACTCACCATGCCGAATGTCCTCACTTCCATTTCTGTCTCGACGGGCTCATCCATGAGTACAACTTCAGTGATACAGTTTGACAACCTGCCTGCCTTTGAAGCTCACGTCCTCTCCTCCCTACACCAAGTCGAAAGCTATCACAACTTTTTATTTACCGACGTGCCTGAATCCTGGGGGGGCGGCCGTGTTCCAGCGTATTGACGAAAAGATCCCTTCTCGGTAAGTCAAAGACCTTCTGCATCTAATTTTCCTTGACTCTTACCCAATATACTAGGAAAACCCACAATACAAGGGACCGTACTCTACGGGTCAAAGTCATACCGACAGAGGTACAAAATTGTATCCAGCACTGGCTAGTGCAGCAGATGATCGACTGGCTCTTGAATCATAACATAACGCAATATGAACAACCACTCTTACGTGTGGCAGTTGGAACAAGTAAGTACCTTACAACTCACTTACCTGCACAGGAACTCTAGGAAAGAACCCAACTTCTTTTTCCGAGTCGAGGGTCATATCATGCCAGCTATTGCGGTAGAGTGTGGCTGGAGCGAGTCGATTACACGAATTTATAATAATATGAACCTGTTACTAATGGGTGGTGATGGCTCTATTAGGGTTGTCATTATCGTCAAGTGGAGAAAGCTGCAAGGAGGTGTCTCGGGGACTGTCGAGCTCTTTAACAGAGACCGAAACGATATGCCCAGATGTGAACAAAGCGAAGTATGTCCGGATTTCTGATTAAATATCACATACTTATTACCTGGAATCTGTGCAGAGTATCTTCCCCCGCCCTGCCACTGGAAATAATCAACGGCTAGGGATTCGACGACGTGATATCTTTGGGCCGGCGCTATTAGATGACAACAGCGGGAATGATATCTTCTACCTGGATGTCGAGCGACTGCGTGGTTATGCCGCCGAATCCCTTCACTTCATGAACCTTGTTCCGGCATAAATATCTTCTTGGTTGATTGTATGCAACTAATTAATTCCTTTGTCTTGATACATTGCTGCTACTGAATACTCTCTCTATAGTAACTGTAAGGCGATTTACTACAACAATACATGTAGCTACTATTGAGAGCATAGGTGAAACTTGAGAGACCCTAATATATCATGTGATGATATCTTATCTTATCTTATCCGCTTAGGTCAGCCGAGTGTTGGCTGTTTGCGCACGGGCCTACCGCCTCCCACTATCTTCATCTGTATTAGTCCGGATCCGGTTTAGCGCGCCTATTAAGAGATAAGGGACGTTTAGTCAAAAAACCTTGGAACTCCGATACTTCGGATCTTTTCTATCTGGTCTGTTGCTAATTCAGATTTGTGTTGATAGGTAACTTCCTTTCACTTCTATATAATTCACTGAGCCCCCCTTGCAATGTTCATCTCGGTTGCGTCATCTGTTTGTCCAAACGGCCCAATGCGTTAAGTGGCCCCGTTTAACTTCCGAATCTCCTAAATTTTCGACGCACTTGGTTGGACAGCAATTGCGCGAGATACCATGGCGGTTTTGCAGCCTCGTGGCCGTCGCGACTCTCGTGCATCAGCGCTATCACGCAATCTGATGTTTGACCGCGACATCCAGGGTAACGCCCCATCAGAAACGTTGGTGGAACATGCAAATCCAGGTAGCCCGCCCGGTCCAATGGGAGCAGAATCATCCAGCTACAATGGATCAACGACAAGAACACCAAACCGTTCATTTTACCACCGGTCCTTCAATAGCAATATGGGTGGGTCATTGTGCATACATAGTGCACGGCTAGAGATACCGCGCAATTTTTACTGACCATTCGACCTATCACAGATCCGGCTCATTATGCTTCAGGCGGTCTCCGTGACCAGACTGCGGAACTCGCTACCTATGGCCTTTCGCTGAATAAGAATTCCCTCTTGAGGGACGGCTCCGGCTTACCCCCCACCCTTGATATATTCCACGGCAGACGGGATTCTGCAAGTTACTCCCAGGACGAAGCTGCAAACCCTCAATCCGCAGCGGGGGAGGCGTTATTGGAGCCAGGGTATCCCTCAGTTGACCCTGCTTCGGCTTCAGGTCCTTCGGCCTTGACAGAGATGATTCGCCGTCCGTTGACGGATACGGAGGAGGACCAGGCCACACAACCCGGGACCGATGATATCTCCTTCCCCCCACCGATGATCTATGCGGAACCCGAACGAGACAATGAAAGCACCTCGTTATTATCTAAATCACGATCCAAATCTATACAAAACTATGGAAGTGCAAGTGACGCTGAGAATCAAAGGGCGGCTGCACAACGATCTCCAAACTTAATAACGAAAGGAATTTCATCCGTCACCCATTATACTCGGATCTTGTCGAACCCAAAGGCATGGGATGGGCGAGCCATATGGAAAGATGCTGTGGTATACCCCGCAAGTCTGGTTCCTGCCGTATTACTGGGTCTACTGCTCAACATTCTTGATGCTTTATCCTATGGAATGATCTTGTTCCCTCTGGGAGAACCCCTGTTCGCTCACCTGGGAACTGACGGTATCTCGATGTTCTATGTCAGTACCATTATATCCCAAGTGGTATTCTCCTGTGGAGGCTCGATCTTCAAAGGAGGAATAGGAAGTGAGATGATTGAAGTAGTACCCTTCTTCCACCAGATGGCTTTCACCATCATGAATTCAGTCGGCAAGGACAACCCGAAATCAGTGATTGCAACGACCATTCTAGCCTTTTCGGTCAGTTCGGTTCTCACCGGCTTGGTGTTCTTCTTAATGGGTGTATGTGGGCTGGGCTCACTCATTGGCTTCTTTCCCCGTCATATTCTCATCGGGTGCATCGGTGGTGTGGGCTACTTTCTTCTACAGACTGGAATGGAGGTTTCAGCCCGGCTCCCCGGGTCTCTCGAGTACAACCTCCCCACGATTCAGAAACTTTTCACTCTCGATACTTTCCCTCTTTGGATGATACCCCTCTTCCTTGCCATTGGACTTCTTGTTCTCAAACGATTTGTTCGCTCGAACTTCCTTGTCGGCGGATACTTCATTGCCGTTGCTGCAGTGTTCTACATTGTCATCTTAAGCGCTAGGATTTCTATGGGCGCTCTGCGCCACAATGGATGGGTCTTTGCTGCCCCGTCTTCGAACAACCCGTGGTATCATTTCTATTCTCTCTATGGTGAGTCAATTGGTTGTAATTCTTCTGGCATTCCATGCTAATTCATTCCAGATCTCTCGGCGGTCAATTGGACTGCCTTTGGTGAGACAATTCCGGCCATGTTCGCTTTGACATTCTTTGGTGTGCTTCATGTGCCCATCAACGTACCTGCTCTCGGCATATCCACCGGCGAAGACAATCTCAACGTTGACAGAGAGCTCATGGCACATGGCGTGACGAATGCACTTTCAGGATTCGCAGGAAGCATTCAGGTATGTGACCCCATCGCTAGAGCTGTGGTTAATGTGCTAACGGAAGCAGAACTATCTTGTTTATACCAACAGTCTTCTCTTCATTGCAAGTGGCGGGTCATCTCGGTTGGCTGGTCTGATGTTGGCCGCAGCCACTGCAGGGATTATGGTCATTGGCCCAGTAATAATCGGCTTTATTCCTATTATGGTCGTTGGTGCCTTGATCTTCTTGTTGGGCATTGAGCTTTTGCAGGAGGCATTGGTGGACACATGGGGAAAACTCACCCGGCTTGAATATCTAACCGTTGTCATTATCGTTGTCACTATGGGCGCTTGGGACTTCGTGGTCGGAATCTTCATTGGGATCATTTTGGCCTGTGTGAACTTTGTGGTCCAAACGTCTCGGAAATCTGCCATTCGAGCAACATTCTCGGGTGAAATTTCCGGGTCAACGGTCCGACGTCCTCCTATCCAACAGGAGTTCCTACGCGAAGCTGGGCAGCAGACCCTGATTATCAAGCTTGGTGGATATCTCTTTTTTGGGACCATCGTGAATGTCGAGAACACCATGCGTGGCCTGATCGAGGAGGAAGCTTTCGACCGTCGTCCCATTCGATTCATCATTCTCGATTTTACTCGAGTCTACGGAATCGACTTCTCGGCCGCAGAAGCATTCACCCGCATCAACCGCGTTCTTCAAAAGCGCAACGTACAAACGGCCATATCCGGCTTGGATGTCGAAAGTGACGTAGGAAGGTCCCTACAAAATGTAGGACTTTTCGAGCCAGAATCTGGCGTCCCTATCTTCGAAGACCTGAACTCAGCCCTTGAGTTCTGCGAGAACAACTACCTGAAAGTCTTCTACAACCGCCAGCAAGCACTTTCCACACCCACCGATTCAACTGCAAACTCCGAGCTCCTCCAAATCCCCGCCTCAGTCCCCGTGCCCTCAGGACCCAAACCTATCACCCTAACCGACAACATTGTCAGCTCACCCCGCCGCCAGCACCTACAGCGCGTGGCGACCTCAACCATCCAAGCCCACGAAACAACAATGATGGCCTCCCCCGCCTGGTCCGCCATGCGCCAACCACTCCCACTCCTCCTCCAAACCTTCCAAGGCCTCTCAACCGAAAACGAAGACTTTTGGTTCCCCGCCTGCGCCTACTTCTCCTGCGAATGCTACCCCGCCGGCACAGTCCTGTACCACGAAGGCGACGCCCCGCGCGCCTTCTACCTCCTCGAGTCTGGCATGCTGCGCGCTGGCTACGACCTCCCACAGGGCCGCTACTTCGAGCTCATTGTCGCTGGTCGACCGTGCGGCGAACTGCCTTTCTTCAGTGATACACGCCGCACGGCGACGGTCAAGGCCGAGCGCGATTGTGTGGCTTGGTGTTTAACGGGGGCGCAGTGGAAGGTGCTACAGGAGAAAGAGCCGCGCATTGCTCGTGAACTGTTGACGGTTAGCTTGAAGTTGACGACTGAGCGCATGGATAGTATCACCTCGTATGTTTTGACGATGGCGGCTTGATTTTCTTTTTAGTTGGCTTGTTCGTTGTTTGCATCTAGCTTGGTGGTTATCTGAGCGAATTGTTGGGCCTCGTTTTTAATGTTGATATTCCCATATTCCCCGACTCTTTGGTTTACATATGCATTCGTATATAGCAGCTGGAGCATGCATGCATATCGACCTCGTGATGTTTTTATGATCGTTGTATGTAGCAGAACTTCGCCTTGCACGCATGTGGGTAGTTGTCCTTGTATAATTGAAGATACCTGATTGATTGCGACAAGCAGCTGAAACTTTTCTGAAAAGCCTTGGGCCTATTCAATGAATCGAAAAAGATAATGCAGGAGATGTATGAGTTCTTTGAGTTTTTCACAGATGATGTCCGAAAGAAGAAGGGGGGGTCAAGTATGAGAAGGCGTCTAGTTCTGTGATGCATCATGTTAAATTTCTGTCTTTCGGCCGAAAATCAGTCTCTTACAATATAATTTGGGGTGTTTCCTTTGTTAATGCTATTCTTCTTTATTTCTTGCTGTAGATCCAATATCTCAATTCCATCCCGGCGCGCTACGGTGCACGTGATCCGGCGTTCCTGACACGCGTGGGCGCGTCCCTGATTGCCTCATTCTAGTTTCACACTTGGATGTGACTCTCTTGGAGATTTTTCAATCAACAGCCCAGTCTTTAATCGCATATTTTATCTACAAATTTGGCTATGGCAGCTGAAAATGGAGACTCAAAGCTCTTCGAGCAGTGTTGCTTCTGTATTGTATGCTCCAAGGATCTTTCGAACGAATCCGCAGAACAGGTACGTGTTTTCCTGCCACTAGGACAGCCTGAACTAGACTGACAAAATAAACTCGTCTAGCTAGCCACTCTAATCGAGCAAAATGGCGGCGAGCCTCTGATTGTCCAACCCGGTGCCGAGGTCCCCGATGTGGCCAAGTTCAGCCATATGATCTCTACAACTATTGACTTCCAAGCATACGGTACTGCCTGCGATGCGTTGATCCCAGTGGTGAAGCCACAGTGGGTGAATAACTCATTGACGAAGCGGAAACTGGCCAACCCCCGCCAATACAGCCCAGACCCGCGTCTGTTCATGAACGATGTGGTGGTTACCTGCGGCGACATACCCGAAGGAGACAAGGATGCAATCATAGGGGGTGTAGTTGCGAAGGGTGGATTGTATTCTCCAAGAATTTCTCAACAGGTTACACATTTGGTGGACCTCACGGCCGACTCCGACAAGGCGCGCATTTTGCAGGCGAAGAGATTAAACGTGAAGATTGTACTACCACACTGGTAAGTTTCATGGTACAACAGCCAGTGACCCTCGCTGACTGAGAATAGGTTTGACGACTGCCTTAAACTTGGTCGACGAATCGACGAACGTCCATATACACTTCCAGACCCAGAGATTTTGCGCGCGGGTCCTGATACTCCAATCCGATGGCAAGATAATAAGGACTTGGTCGGTGCGTCGACAACAAATCCTTCTAAGTTGCCTACGCCTAGTTCGGCGCATCAATCAGGCCAACGCAGTGTCTTTGAAAGAAAATCCATTATGTTGTCTCCGGATCTTGCAATCGGCTCCCACTTGCAGGAGTCAATCCAAGCCGTCCTCGAACAAGGCGGTGCCAAAGTGACATCAAATATTGATGTAGCAGACATGTTAATTTGTCGTTACCGGGAAGGATTTTCATACCGCACGGCATCGCGACTGAACATCGACGTTGGGAATCTCGCATGGCTCTACCACCTCATGACCTTCAACACATATACTTCACCCCTCAGACGACTACTACACTACCCGGTCTCTCGCACTGGAATCCCTGGATTTGAGGGTTTGAAAATCAGTTTGTCCAATTATGTTGGCGAAGCAAGAATTTACTTGGAGAATTTGATCGCAGCAGCAGGTGCAGAATGTACCAAAACTTTAAAGCAAGAGAACACCCATCTGATCACGGCACACGGAATGAGTGAGAAATGCAATGCCGCGAAGGAATGGGGCCTCGAAGTTGTCAACCACTTGTGGCTGGAGGACAGTTATGCAAAATGGAAGCTCCAGCCGGCATCAAACCGGCGCTACAGCCACTTCCCTCTGCGAACCAATCTCGGAGAAGTCGCAGGCCAGACGCCGCTCGACCGCCATGTTTTGGAGCAGGTATTTTTCTCGTCCGAGGAGAATATTGCTCATAGCCCACGGCGCGCAATGCAGAGCAAGAACCAAAATATGGTTTCAATACAGCCTCCCGCTGAGAAGAAAAGGAAGATTGATGAGGATGCCCCGGAAACTTCGCTTGGGACTCCGCAGGGTAATGGGAAGTCACGCCGACCTATTCAAACACCCGCACGAACTCGAGTCATGTCCGAAGGCAAAGAAAATGAGACACCATCGTCGACCAGTAGCCGCAAGTCAAAAGAGGCGGCAGCTGCCCGGCTTCATGAGTATGTCCCGGACCTTGCGTTGTACGAAAAGGAAAGGAAACGCGTGGGGGGTGTTATCTACGGTGGCAGGCGAAAGTCAGATGAAGGCCGGGTTCAGGAGAACAAAAAGCGTGCCTCACCTGAAGCTGAGGATGAGAGCGATGGCGAGCAAGCAGTGGAGACTAAACGACAGAAAAAGTCACGGCCACCAATTGCTATGCACCTCTTGATTACTGGATATCAGAGATGGGTTGGTAAGGGAAACGAGAAGAAAGAAGATGCAGACAAGGTTCGTTTAACGACTGAAGTTATGAAAATATTGGCTTAGGATCTATCTATTGACACTTTCACAGCGAGGGCTTCGAGATCTCGGTATCATGGTGGTCCAAGATGCCCGACGATGCACTCATTTGGCCGCACCGTCGATCTTGCGAACTACCAAATTCGTTAATGCACTCGCGTATGCGCCGATGATCCTTAGCACAAAGTTCATTGACAGTTGCCTAAAGGAGGAGAAACTGCTTGACCCTTCCGATTTCCCTCTAGAGGATAAAGAAGCCGAGAAGAAGTACAGTTTTGACCTGTCTTCTGTCACAAAAAACGCAAAGAAGAACAAGAATAAAATGCTGCAAGGCTATCGCATCTACTGCGTCGAGGACATTCGAGGCGGATTTGATGCCTTCAAATCTATTGTTGAAACAAACGGAGGAGAGTGCATGCTTTACCGTGGCCGTCTGGCTATAAAGAACCATTCTCGGCGGGAGGAGAGCGACGAGGAAAGCGAATCGGAAGATGGAAGCCCTGTCCGCAAGGATGTCTTCCTCCTCAGCAGTACTGGAGCTAATCACGCTCGAGTCTGGCCTCGATTCCGCCAACTGGCGGTCGATATCAAGAAAACTCCACGGATTGTCCGGGTTGACTGGCTCCTGGACATGGCCATGTCGCAGCAGACACGTGCTGCCGACGAATACGAGCTGACCGATGAGATGATCGAGACAATGGACCAGTAGACCGATACCAAGGTATTGAGTCGACACTCTCATCCACTTAGGGCTTTCAACCTAAGAACATGGATTCTGTGTATAAGTTTGGAGTATCGGCGACGTGATTAACATGTCTTTTGGCCCGCACATAGGAAGCGCTTTGTTTATGTCACGAATAGCCACGATTTATCTCATAGAGAAATCCCAGCATCTCATCTTGAGCTGTTCAAAAGAACTTGACACCCTCCTGGCCCTCAGCGCCAAAAATCTGCGCCCTGCCCCTCTTAACCAGGACATTCAGCGAGCGCAACATGACATCAGTATCCATGCCATGGAACTCTGTAGACGCGAATCAGCACAGTCCGTAGACATTATCATTCACAACCGAAGACACAATCTCACCCTGCGACATTGCTCCCTCCCCATGAATAAGCTCATACACGGTCAGAACCGACCCCCTCTGCCCAGTGCCCTCAACCCACTCGACCAACACATCCGCCCACTCCTCAGGCCTCCTCCACCAAATCCACGCAACAGCCTTCGGCCCTTGCCCAGCACCATTTCCCAACCCCCCTAAAGACGACGCGCCTCCTGCATCCGAGATCCACTCCGCTCGCCGCCCACCGCCGCCTTCCTCTTCGCTCTTAGTCATCCAGTCGATGACCGCGCGGGCCTCGCGCAGATCAAGGCGCTTGCGCAGGGCCGTATTGTGGAATAGCGGTGTTTCGACGGCGTCGATTAGGGAGAGACGGTATTGGCGATGATGCCGGCACCAGGATTGGATCAGAGAGGACCATTTCTCGAGCTGCGAGTGGCGGGTTGTTGTGTTTGGTTGCGGGGTGAAGAAGGGGGGGAAGTTGTAGGTTGGTGGGAAGGGGAAGGGAGGTGTTGTTGTTGTCATATTGGAAGGGATTAAAGAGTGAAGATTGAAGAGCAGATAGCTAAATGGACCAAATAGAAGTAGAAAAGTTAAAACGAGTCGAATGTCGAGAACAAGAAGAGACAAGACGGTCGAGAGACTCCAAGCTGTGGAGTAAAAGGTGGGGCCCGGGGGATTTTCTCAATTTCGACTTCGGCCTTTTGGATTTCTCTCGACTGTCCCCTCTGCTCTTCACAATGGCCACCCAAAATCCGCCTGCAAAGCGCACCAAGCGCGAAGAGTACCGTCGCAATGTACAGGCCCAGCAGGAATCTACCGATGGCTCCGTCATCAAGATGCCGCAGAAGAAATTCTTCCGCCAGCGCGCGCATGCGAATCCATTCTCCGACCACCGGCTAGAATAGTATGTATCCTATCTGCCTGTTTCACGTTAAACTGCTGCTACGGGGTTTCACGGGATTCTCGAGCTCCATTGGCGACAATTCCTTCGCATCCGATCGAAGACTGATAGCTAACTCACACCCTAATAGTCCCCTCAGCCCCGCGCACATGGACTGGTCATCCCATTTCCCTGCATTTGTCGATCCGGATACATCCAAAACGAACCTCAGCGGAGGGCGGAAGTTGACCAAGGAGGTCGAAGTCGTGGATATCGGATGTGGATTCGGCGGGCTGATCGTTGGCCTGGCGCCATTGATGCCAGATACCCTGATGGTTGGTAAGTACAGCGCAGCGATATTCCAACTCATATATACACCCGGCCGAATGAGCACCGCAAAACTAACCACAAAACCACAGGCATGGAAATCCGCACCTCAGTGCTGGAATACGTCACCTCTCGCATCCACGCCCTGCGCAGCCAACAACAACGCCTAAAGAACAAAGCCGCGAACCCATCATCAACCGAACCCCAAGACGCCTCAACACAACCCGAAAGCACCGAATCAGCCCCGGCCCCAACCCCAGCCAACGACGATGAAATCGGCACGGAGAAAATCTTCCCAGGAAACTTCGAAAACATCGCCGCAATCCGCAGCAACACAATGAAGTTCCTCCCAAACTTCTTCGGCCACCACCAACTCTCCAAGATCTTCATCTGCTTCCCGGACCCGCACTTCAAGGCCCGTAAGCACAAGGCCCGTATTATCTCCGAGTCTCTAAATGCCGAGTATGCATTTGTCCTGCGGCCTGGCGGTCTGCTGTACACCATTACCGATGTCGAGGAGTATCACCACTGGGTCCTGCGGCATTTCCTAAATAATGAGCAGCAGGAGGGTGAACCGGCCCCTGCTCCGAGCAGTAAGGATCTGTTTGAGCGGGTTTCTGATGAGGAGCTTGCTCTTGATCCTTGTGTGCGGGTTATGAAATTTGAGACAGAGGAGTCGAAGAAAGTTACGAGAAATAAGGGAAACAAGTATGTTGCTGTTTTCAGGCGCAAGGCTGATCCTGAGTGGCCTGTTTGAAAAGGAGTGGAGGGAACTAGATACCTAATTAGAGAGGAGAGAGGAGAATATGGCAAGTTAGGAATCATTGGATATAAATGATATGACGATAAGAGGGGGAGGTGTTTTGGGGCGTTTTTCCCTCATTCTAACTGCATGCATGGCCAATATCATACTTCAACATCGCTCATCGCTCATCGCTGGCAATCTTCGCTTGCTAACAAAAACAAAACATAAGAACAAACACCCGAAATGAACCCGAAAAGGGGTTGTAGACGTGCAGACAAATCAAAAATCAAGTTATGCAACAATCAAACACCGACATCATGCGATAAAAGCAGTAATTTCGCTAAAACATGGTGGCCGTAGCCCGGCAACTAAATGGTGCAAAAGTCTAGCACATCCCAGGCGCCTTGAGACGGATACCCTCACATCTCTCACAGATAGCCAGTTGGACCGGACCACCGATGATGCGGCCCTTAGCTGTCCGCTTGGGCTCGCCTTCACGAACGAAGAATCGGCCCTCCGAACCGAAACCCTCGCCACACTCGTGACAATTGAAGCAGCTCTCGTGCCACTGGCCACCGATTGCGCTGACGACAACATCGTCCATGACCTGTTTTTTGCAGCCCAGACAACGTGGTGCGGTACGGCGCGAGTGGCAGTTGAGACACCACGCGAAGCCATCTTTCTCGACAAAGGGAGTTTGGGAATCGAAGGGCTATATGAAAAGAAATAGTCAGTTATCTTAAGGGCGAACGTATGAGAAGGGAATCCACACATACATCACCGCACTCTGCGCAGAAGAAGTGGCCGACATGCCATTCGGCACCACATGCCACTACCACTTCTCCTTCAATAGGGGTCTTGCAGCTCTTGCAACGGGGACTGAACATCTCGTGGAAATCTAGATGGCAGTAGAAACGTGGCACGCGAGCTTCAATGTCACTAGCCTCGGTTTTTGATAATCTCTCGGCTCTGTTGGACTCCGGTTCTGAATAGAAAGCCACGCATTCGAGGGGTGTGCTGCAGTGGAAACAGGTAAAGCACTCCGGGTGGAATCGACATCCGCCAGCGGTCACAATTTTTCCGGAAATGGAAAGCGTACAACGCTCACAGCTTGCAGTGGGGACACCAGTTCGTGTATAGGGCGAGTACCAACGGCTCTGCGATTGCGGTTTTTTCCCCGTCGGGTGGGGTCTAGCCGCTTGCTTGGAAGAAGCCTCGATCTCGGAGATAGTGGGTACTTTGATGTCCGGGATATTTATCACGGGAACTGGAGTCGGCTCAGAGACTTCAATGGTCGGTGGTGCTATTTCAATCACGGGTAGGGTTGGACGATCGGGCTTCGGCTGATCAACTGGTTTCCAAGTTTTGTCGAAGCTCACGATTGGGCGTCCCACTCGATCACTGACAGCTGAAGGCATTGGTAACTTTTCGCTGCGGTCTCCTCGTTTTTTGCTGGTAGCTGCGCGGATCTCGTCACTGCGTCTCTCTCTCCCATCCTGAGTGGGGACAAGTTCATCCTTTTCTTCGGGGGGAGGAGTCGGAGTAGCACGCTCGTTTCTAGCGTAGCCGGCCTTGTGTGACTCAGTGGGAGAAGGAGTAGGGCTTTCGTTTCGAGTGTAGCCGGCAACTTGTGACTGAGTGGGAGAAGGAGTAGCGCTTTCGTTTCGAGTGTAGCCGGCATTACGCGGCTTGGTGGGAGTGTCCTTGGGGGTTTCAAACCGCGAAATCTTATCCATCATAGGGCTGCTGTGAACTCTATTCTGCAACCAAGGCAATGGCCTAGGAATACGGCCTAGGGCGTTGCGCGGTTTGTTTTTCATTGCTGACGAGTCAGACTTGGAAAATTCCGACTTTGGTTCGGGTTCCTTCTTTGTCTCAATGGGCTCTTCGTATATTTGTTCTTTAGGGTTCTTGAGGATTCCTTTAAATGAATCGCTGCTGACAGTTTGCGGTTCGGGAGCAACAGACTCCTCGAGTTCGGGTAGTTTGAAGTTGACTTTGAGATTCTTCTTTGAGGGACCAGCCAGAGATGATCGTTTGCGCAGTGACTCCGGGCTAGAGTTACCATCAGAAGAGATACTTGAGCCAGTGGACTGGCTGAATTTATTGGTCAAGGGGTCATATTCTCGCGAACCATTTTTAACAGGGCTCTGGCTGCCCTTGTTGGCATCAGGATTTTGGTATGGCGCATAAGGGTTTTTGAAAGCTTGACCCGGATTCTGGTGCATCCAAACTAGCTGCGTGGCCTCATCCTGGGCCGCTTGGTGAAGTCCAACATCGTCCTCGATATCCATTTTCTGCAAGGCCTCTCGTAGTGCCCGTGCCTCTTCCTTTTCGTGTCGTCGTTGCCCATTTTCACGATAGGACAGAGCGGGAGATGCCGGTATTGATATGGTACGTGCGTGAATTTGTGCTGGAAAGACGTTCTTCCGGATCGAGTGCGTTCGTGGCTCCTGAGCTAAAGGACGACCCATTGCGCCGGCGGACGCTTGGGAATTTGCCCGGCGATGGGACATTGCGCTGCCTGACCGTCGATCTTCAACGTCATGCTCGACCGGGGTACGCATGGAGAATGCCGAGGATGCCCTTGGAGGAAGGTTATCAGACTGATCGCTAACTGCGGCTGCTTTGCCTGGGTATGGACGAGATCCTGTCGGACGGGCCGGACGATTCGCTCGCAAATCTTTCAAGTATGTTGCTGTTGACTCACATCAGCTCCGAGCCGTCCGACACCGAAGAGTTACTTACAGACTTGATCGTTGGACATGAAGGATGGGCCAGGAGGTGAGACTTTTCTCTGAGTGGGATGTTTATGCATCATGGAATTGCAAGGATCAGGGATCCAGGAGAAGATATACGGATAAGTACAGAAAAGAGGGACCCAGATGAACTAAGATGAGAAGAGTCTAGTTGGATCTACAATTGACGGTCTGAGCTGGCTAGCGTCATTGGGCTGGTCTCCCCTCCAAACAAACCCCTTGGGCCCGTCGCGAGGCAACGGATGACTCAGCATGGGTATCTGCCGATAAGGGCTTGTTTTTATGAAGCCCTATAAGCCCTTTTGGACAACAAGTGTGGATAATGCCAATGCCTGGCACTCGAGACCTTTCCCTTTCCAGGTTGATGCTCACCTCTTGCCGCTTTTTGATCACTGAGTAAAACTGAGCTGAATATTCTGACTTGATCACGAGCCATTATTGCGGAGCGAAGCGAACCAATAAATCATATCCTTGTGTGTACATGTCACGTGACCCTTCTCTTCTATCCTAGGCTTGAAATAATGCGGTGAACTATCATCGGCTAACTTGGGCAGAAAGACCCAACCGGCAGAATAAATATAGACTAGGCCTAATCGGGCTAGACGATGATTTCTATATCATGTCTGTCATCCGTCGACGAGTTTCATCTGCAACATAATTATCTCACTCAATGGGATCTATATCCTAAACACGGCCAGTATGCCGTGGAACTAATTGCGGTTATTTACTCGGAAAATATTCGAATAGGGAGGAGGTGTGAGAATAATGACACTAGCGCCAGCGTTAAGTAGAGGCTTATTCCTGATGAACGCGGCGTGTCCTTCCTCTACTATTCCGGATGTCGAATTGGGTGATAATGGGATGAGACACATTTGGAACGGATCGTTGAGGATCTCCGTGGCCACATAGAAATGGGCCACAGTCCATCTCCAATCCTGTCATTCCGGGTGAGCTAGGCAATTAAACGGATGACGATAAGGTACATTTAAATATATAAAAGTTAATACTCAGAATCTTAGCCCTATGGATACATGGCTCTATTCAAGCTCATCCATTATTGAAACCTTGGGATGTCATACTTGGCTGTGGAGTATCTTGTGCCGAGAAGCCGGTGCGGAGAGAATCGAGTTGGGCAGATGTGGGGGAATTTTTAGTCACGAGAATTGCATAGCTTCGGACGCGAGTAGCTGTATATTAGCTTCCTTCATTGGTCTGATAGAGCCGAATCTAAATAATAAACCAGGTCCGTCCTGGGGATCTCGCCTCTATACGAACCATGTTCCAAGGTAGGATTCGGCATTCAGTCCGATAGTCCGATAGTCCGATGACTCCAATTATTTTATTACCAATGATAAACTGATCGAAATCTAGTCCCTTTTTCTCTTAGCGTGCTCATTTAACTCTTTTGCTTCCTTTTACAAGAATCTCTATGTCGTGACGAAAACGGCAACCGGTTTCGGTCTTTAAGGAGCTCGTGATCTCGGAAAATAACAAGCCGGGCTTGTATCTGAGCTATCATCATGGCGGATAATGTGCCCATCGATATCATCCGTTCCCATGAGGACGAAGTGGACCGTGAGAGCGCAGAACAGAAAGAGACGTTGTATCCACTGTCGGCACCATTGGAAGTCGACGAAGATGAAAAATATAAGCACGATGTGGCCCCGGACGGTGGCTATGGCTGGGTCTGTATCGCCTGTGTTTTCTGGATCAATGCGCATACCTGGGGTATCAATAGCGTGAGTCATTAGTCTTCACCTTCAAATTTGCACCTTCGTCTTACTAACCGGTCTAATATCCAGAGCTACGGAGTCTTCCTGAGCTATTACCTCTCAAACGATGTATTCCCCAACACATCTGCCCTATCGTACGCTTTCACAGGCGGCTTGAGTATCTCCTGTGCCCTCCTGGTGGCCCCAGTAGCCACCCATATGATCCACAAATTGGGTGTACGATTTGTCCTCAACCTGGGCATCTTCTTCGAAACCCTCTCTCTAATAGGGGCCTCATTTGCAACCCAGAAATGGCATATCTTCCTCAGCCAAGGCGTCTGTTTCGGCTGGGGAATGGGCTTCCTCTTCGTGGGCAGTGTCGGCATCACCCCGCAATGGTTCGACAAGCACCGCGGCGTAGCGATGGGCATCAACGCCGCCGGATCTGGTCTCGGTGGCCTGATGTACTCCCTCGCCGTGGGCGCCATTATTCCGCGCTACGGGCTAGCTTGGGCGTTTCGTATATTGGGTATCATTTCGTGCGTCGTGAATTTGGTCTGTTGTAACTTGCTCCGGGACCGCAACAAGGCTGTCGGCAGTAGATTTACGGCTTTCCATCTGCCCCTCCTGCGTCGCCCGGAGTTTTTGCTCTTCCTCGGGTGGGGGGTGTTCAGTATGCTCGGATATGTGGCGCTGCTGTTCAGCGTTGCCAACTTTGCTCTCTCTGTCGGTCTCTCGTCACACCAGGGGAGTATTGTCTCGGCGCTGCTCAACCTCGGTCAGGGTCTCGGTCGTCCGTTTGTTGGCATGTTCAGTGACAGACTTGGCCGTATTAATATTGCCACTTTCCTCACTTTCCTCTGCGGTCTGTTCTGTCTCGTCATCTGGACTTCTGCTGACAGTATGGGTGTCGTATGCTTCTTCGCCGTTTTGGTTGGCACTGTCGCAGGCACGTATTGGGCTACTGTTTCTCCTGTCCTGGCGGAGATTATTGGTATCAGGGATCTCCCTTCTGGCTTAAGCATTACCTGGCTCACGCTTGTTGTTCCTTGCACTGTCTCCGAGCCTATCGCCCTTCAGCTCCGCAGCCATGGTATTGGTGGCGAGACTTCATATCTCCACGTTCAGATATTTACTGGATTCATGTATATTGGTGCTTCCATGTGTCTGTGGGTTGTCCGCGGTTGGAAGGTCGGCGAGCTGGAGCGTGCTCTGGCAAGCCGTGATTCCGTCGTCCAGTCTGGCCCATTGGCTGGAGTCAACGGCGGAAATGAGAAGCAAAACTGCCCTGCGACTATTTCCCCGGCCTTGGAGGCCACTGAAACAAACATTCCGTTATGGGCCCCGGTCAGCTTGGTACGCAGAATGATCTCGTTGAAAAAGGTTTAAATAACTGCGTAGCGCAGAGTACATACATTTCACACAAATGAACATACAAAAATAGACAATCGTCTGTCATTCATTTGATTCGAACGCCGTTTTAATACTAATCTACATGGATGTAGCTTTTGTTTCATGCCTCCGTAACCAAGATCCGGACCCTTCTCTTGCCGGCGCCACGACCTTCTTCCTTGACGGAGCTGACATTGACACGAACCTTTTGGAAAAGTTCAACAGTCACACTGCGTTCCTTCTCCGGGTGACCCTTCTCCTCCACACAAAGGGTATATTCCTCGCTATCAAACTCCGTAGTGCGGTGAGGAGCTAGCTCCCGTCTCTCTGCGACAGAACGAGCTCCAGATTCACCGGGTAGGACGAAGTCCTCCAGACGAACGACACCTTCAATGCCGAAGCGGGGAACGAAGATGACAACACCGTTCTCGAACACACGCATCACGTATCCTTCTTCTTCAATACCCGCATCAACACCGTCGGCGGCCATCTTCTCTCCACGGGCCTTGAGAGCCTGGCCCACGTAGTATTCAATACTAGCGCGGCCAGCATGCTGTGCATTGCGGTGACGGACGTTGATGTTCCGGCAGATGTCTTCTAGCTTGTTGCGGGTGCTGACACCCTCGATAACTGCGTGTCCATCCTCACCTTCATACCCAATGGCAGAAGCCAATTGCCGGTGAACCATCAGATCGGCATATCGTCGAATGGGTGAAGTAAAGTGGGTGTAAATGGGGGAGGCGAGACCGTAGTGACGGAATTCGGATTCGCCAAAGGCCCCCGCGCAGAAATACTCGGCAGAGGTCATGCAACGGGTCGCCAAGATACGGACCAGGGTGTTGAAGAATGGGTTCTTAGGATCGATACAACGATCCAAAGAATCAGCCAGAGCTCGTGAGCTGGAAACATCCAGCTCCATGTCTCGCTTCTTCGAGAGTTGTTTTTGAAGGTCCTCGAAATTTTGAGGCGGGGGAGTGGCGTGCCGACGTAGCAAGGCCGTCTGAGGAAAGGACTCATAGACCTTCGAGGCAACAGTGATATTGGCGAGAAGCATGAACTCTTCGACCAAGCTATTAGTGTCAAGCATAGCCTTGGTCTTGACGTCCGTCAAAGGATCGCCCACTTCATCCCCTTCACTCTCAATGCGGACTTCTGGGGAAGCGAGGTTCAAGGCACCAGCGTCCATACGCTTCTGACGGAGAACCTTGGAGAATTTCAAGAGAGTGCGCATGCTTTCGGTCAGCTCGTCCTGCTGTGATTTGTCGTCAATGCGTAACTGAGCTTGTTCGTAACTGAATGCTTCCCGGGAGCGAATGACCGACTTGCTGAAATTTGAAGACACTATCTCGGCATCAGGTGTCATCTCCCACTGAACCGAGAACGCATATCGTTCAACATAGGGCTTGAGAGAGCAAAGATCTGTACCAAGAAGGTGCGGGAGCATGTCGATACGCTTATCGACTAGGTAAACAGTGGTTCCGCGAATACTGGCCTCGAGATCCATTGGGTTGTTGGGTTTGACGAAATGTGACACATCTGCAATGTGGACACCAACCTCAAAGTTTCCATTTGGCAGAAGACGCGCGTGAAGTGCGTCGTCAATATCCTGACAGCCGGGTGGATCGATACTGCAAATAAGCAAGTCTCGAAGATCTTTCCGGCCGGTCCAGCCTTTATCCTCCTTCGAGACAGGAACCTTCCAATTATGACCTTCAGATGGAAGGCAGTCCAACACAGATTTCGGGAACGGCTTATACTGCACGTCGTATTCAAGCAATAAAGCCTCGGTTTCGGCACCCTTGGTTTCGAGCTCTCCCAGAGACCGAATGAAGTGACCGGTAGGATATCTCGAATCGCGGTCCCAAGAATCGATGGTGACAAGAATACGCTGACCGAGAATATCGCTAGCCTGTCTTGTGCGTACTCTGATCTTCGGGATACGCTTGTCCATGGGTAGTAAGAAAACGTTTTGTTGCCGTCTACCAGAGGCCTGTGAGCCAGTAGAATTCGAGTCAATGTGACCAACGTATTGACGCCAGCTGCGCTTGATAACACCAACAACCTTGGCAGTAGGCTGTGGCTTGCCATCCGAGTTCTTGCCATGGGCCTTTTTGACTTCTTCCTGGAGGGCTTTGCGTTCTCTGTCCGTTACCACAGCATCGGTCTCCTCAGTATCAGGGTTATCATTACGGGTCACGGCTTCCTCATCCACAATCTTAGTCGAAGGGCTCTTCCACTGGTCCTGTGGTAGTACTTCGACCACGACAGAATCACCCGCAATAGCGCGGTTACTATTATCACGGCCCAAAATGAGAAGAGGTTTATCGAAAGCCGCGGTCTTGACGGAGGCTTCCAGGTAGTTGTAAGGAGAAACATTGAACACTCCCTGGTGCAATGTCCCGGCTCGCAGACCAGTCGTGAGCTTTGACATTGTGAAATATTCAGGGTAGAAAAACTCCCCGCGGGTTGTCTCTTTGGCATCTCGCGCATCCTTTGACTCGCTGATCATATCCAGCAACATTTCGGACCCCTCTAAGCCGGAGACATAGTCGGATAGCGACAAGGCCGCCACATTTTCTTCCTTGCATTTCCGAAGATTCTCTTTGTCATCAGTTATGACAACAATTGCCGGTATCGCCTTCTCTTTCTTCCCTTTTTTTGCTGATTGTTGCAGGTGAGAACTGTACCAGGTTGCTACCATGCGCACGGCGCGATCGTTCCTGTCGTTGATTGTTTCCTCCGGGCCTCTGCGAACATGAGTCTCTCGGCGAAACTCGTTGAAAAAGAGGTAGAAGCGCTTTTCGTCTGACTTGACGAGGGCCAGAAGACGGTTGTAAAGTGGTATTGATCGGTTTCTCAATTCCTCGAGGACAGTCTGGAGGACAATCACATCGTAAAAAGCCCCAGTGTGCTCAAAAAGATCCATTCCATTAAGCAGCGCATTTGTATCGGGAACAATGTAGTGGCCTCGGGGGAATGCCGTTGTGCCGGCGGGGCGATCAGATAGGATGAACGGTGCAACTGTTTCGATTAGCAACTTGCTTGACCATTACCGTAATAATTTCCTTACTGTTTCCATTGGCATCAGCCGGCGCAATCGTCGGGCATTGTGAGCAGAGCTTAGAAGAGCAAGGAATATCTTCTCTCAAATAGAGCTCGCGGACAATCTTTTGCACCTTTCCACTTTTCGTAGACCTAACGAAGACCTTGCTGGTAACATTTGCGGCCTGCGGGTTGGCAGACAAGTCTCTTCGTAAACTCTTCATTGCGACGGTAAGATTCCACTGTCTAGCAGTGGCTGAATCTGTCAAAACCTGTGTGTCTTGTGAAAGATCCGAGGTGAGAGCCTTGGCGAGAAGAAAGGTTATCGCTGATCATCGCGATAACTAGCTGAGTCAGCATACGGGCTCGTCACTTTGGGGTCGAAAGATGCCATTTGATCGCTACAGGAAAGGTATTTTGTCATAGAGAACTTGGTTTTGGATTCTACTCTAGATCTCTTTCAGATTCTGAACTTTTATCACTATGGTTTTAGCGGTATGTGCTGACCATCCATCGGACGTGAGCCACCTAGTTAACAACTTGCTTTGATTTAGGCCGTGGGGCAGCTATGTTCGACTAGCAACATAACTTCGAACCTAGCTCAGTGCAAGGTGTTGGTTCGAAAGGCTGCTGCAGCAGGTGCCAAGGTGATATTATACTATTCCACAGCCAACTTTCCGATAGACAGCTCATATATGTTAGGTGCTGTTTCTTCCAGAGGCATCAGACTATATCGCATCCTCGGCAGAGCAATCCTACTCCCTCGCCCAGTCTGAAGAGAGAGCTAGCTTTGTGTCGTCCTTACAGAAAGATGCCGAGGAACAGAAAATCCACATCAATGTTGGAATTCATGAAGTAGCCTCTGAAACCAGGCTCAAGAATTTATTGATTTGGATCGATGATAAGGGAATCATCTCCCAAAAGTACCAGAAGGTCCATCTTTTTGACGTTGATATCAAAGACGGACCTGTACTCAAGGAGAGCGCGTAAGCCTTTTTTCAGATCCAATAGTTGACTTATCATTCGCTAACCTTCCATCAGGAGCGTCCAGCCCGGACAACAACTCCCTAGGCCATTTGATACACCTGTAGGGCGTGTTGGTCTGAGCATTTGTTTTGATGTAAGTAATGGACGTTGGAATCACATCGGACATTAACTTCTTACTCATGCTGGATCATTTAGTTGCGTTTTCCAGAGATCAGCCTGGCATTGAGGCGGCAGAATGCTGAAATCATCACATATCCATCGGCATTCACTGTTCCGACAGGAAAGGCTCATTGGGAGCCCTTGCTACGAGCAAGAGCTATTGAGACCCAGTCATATGTGATTGCAGCTGCGCAGGCAGGCCCCCATAATGAGAAGAGACGAAGCTATGGTCATTCTATTATCATCAACCCGTGGGGTGAGGTGGTGGCAAACCTGGGGGATGAGTATCAGGAACCACAAATCGCGACCGCCGATATTGATCTCGATCTTGTGGCGAAGATTCGGCGTGAAATGCCATTGCTTCGGAGAACTGATCTATATCCAGAAATTTGAGAGCCCTATTGTGAACAGCGAGGAGGCAAATGCCAGGGGCCCTCTTTCTCCAGTACATCCTGCAAATAGCCTATCAGATATCACTTCCATACAGTTTAACTTAAATCATTTTCATAATGTGCTTAGTGCGAATTATAACCATTTTTCTTTTGCGACCGGAGCACCTATAAGCAACATGACGGAAAGAAACTTCGAAAAGTGTAAAGTGATACAACAAGGAACGAACGAAAATAGATGAGCATGCAGAAAAAACCTGTCTAAGAACGAGACCGGAACATCATATCTGCCGTCGCAAGTAGTACAGACATAAATCGAAATAGTCCCTCTTTGATCTCTATGTACAACGTACAACTTGGCGTTTATTCCTTGACCTTATCAGGGTCCTCGAGGATACCCTCAGCTTCCAGTCTCCGACGAGCCTCTTCGAGAGCCCATGTTTGTATACTATCGCAATTGTCAGTATTCCAGTTGCGCGACGAGTATAAACGCCAATATTAAGGCACTAGGTCGGGATACAGGTTATACGTACGAAGTATCAGGCTTGAAAACGTATGCAACACCAGCGACCAAAATGCTTCCAATGAATCCGTAGTACCAAATGTTCTCCCAGCCTTCCTTCACGTACTTCTGGCCGGGCTTGACACCGAACAGCCACCCGGTGGGAGGATCATAGTGATCACCGTGATCCGCGGCACGGATACTGGATCGAGTTGAGAATGCCTGGGTCTTTTGAGACTGACGAAGCAGGCAACGCGCCCGGAGGATGTGCGACAATGGTCGGGCACTCATCTTGAAGATGGGATGAAGGAGGGTTGATGCCGAAACACTGGTGTGCAAGGAGATTGGTGAGAGTCACGAGGGACAGAATATCCTTGCTAAATTCAGGTGGTAAGGACGGTCGCAATTGATATGTTGCCTCTTGCGGTAGAGTGGAGGGGGGGGGCTTCGGCGGGTTGATGTTGAAGCCGTAAAAGGCCGGGAAGCTGTCCAGTTATCGCGCTAGTCTACTTTGGGCAATTTTCTTGTCCGCCTTTATACCTGTTATTTCAGGCACAACTACGCTCCTGCCTTGGAAAATAGGTGTCGTCACTACACACGCGACGCGTTCTTATCACATCTGGCCCTCCCATGCTGCAGGGCGCTGGACTCGCCATTCGTTTCATCTTTCCATATGCACGACTCAAGAACATTCGAAGTAACTGAACCGGTAAATACCATCTTTTAACTGGTATGTTTTATCTCAGACCCCCAAAATATCCCCATTTCTGACACCGTCCTACTCAGCCTCCAGCTTCTACACGGAATGTATCCTTACCGATTTTGAGCGCGTCATTGGATATTTCCGAATCGAAGCAATGGCAACAAACAATGCATACCCCATATCTTCAAACTCACGAACAAAGTTGAGCGCTTTTCGCTTCCAGGAAGGCGAAGTAGTTCCCGACGGCGCCAGCTCGAAAGACGAGACGACATCAGTCAATGGGAACAAACAACATGAGGATCCGGGCTCTAACAGTGTGAGGGAGCCGATGCAGACTTCTTCTGATAAAGGATATTCTCCGCCTCTCGAAGCTCAAGCACCGGAACCCCAATTACAAGAATCAAAGCCGATTAAAGAATGCCCTCAGACTCCGGGAAACAAGATACCTCTGGCAGATTTGATCAGCAATGCTGAGGATTCGTTTAATCCTGCCGAAGTCCCGGAAATGACGCCAGTTGATCAAGTCATCTGGCAGCATGTGCCTGCCAGCTCGAACCCAGACACCTCGTCCCAGACACCAGCGGGTCGTCGTAGGAAGCGCCGGCACAGCTCTTCGCCTACTGGCTCTCCCTCGAAAGGGACTAAGAAAAAGGTGCAAAAAGAACCCTTTGATCTTAATTCAATACAAGTCCTATTCAAGACACCGCAGCATGATATGGCCGCTGAATTGTGGAGTAACTACATGGATAAAAACATGGTCGATGGCCCGGATGATCTTCCGCCGCCACGGTTCGCAAATCTTCTTTCCTCCTCACCCCAGACACCAGGTTCGAGCAGAACAAGTCGAGACTCGTCAGGGCTGAGACGCGCGATTAGCTGCACCACCGATTTCCCCACCTCTCGAACAAAACGGCGACGAGTCAATGGACTAGATGTCAGCCGTGGCATATTTCAACGAACTAACAGCAATGTCGAATCTGAGAGACCCAAGTCCTCCAGGATCAACTATCTTATGGAGAAAATTGAAAGAAGCATATACATGGCCACTGCCGATGCGGGTCCACCTGGATCGTCACCCCTACGCCAACATGTGGATACACGGAGGTGCCGATCGTCTTCACCCACGAAGAACTGGAGGCTTCACGAGGCCGACGAAGAAACCACTGAATCCCCATGTGCTGTACCACCTGGGAAGGTGAGAACTGGGAAACTGCCCAGTCTTCAAGAGTCGTCCGACGAGTTCGGAGACGATGATCTTGATCAAGGTCTTCTGGACCTGGTTAATGCCTCGGAGGATCCTTTCATTGAGCCGGCACATGCATCTACCGAGTTTGTGTCTCTGGGGTCTTCTGAATGGGCTGGCCTTGACGCAGAAAAGTCTCGTTCATGGCAGCCTGAAGATTCAATGCTCAACAGCAAGCCTCTCATGACAATACCCCATAGCACTACGACTAACGAAACAAAACGCGATGATATCGATGAATTCGATGAATTTGAATATGAATACGATGATCTGCCTGACAACTTGCAGGAAATACTTGCAAAATGTGATACAAAGCCCGTTCCGGTCAATCTATTGAATTCAACGGCCGCTGGACCATCTTTGCAGAGATCAGATACAATGAATACCCCGGTGAATGGCAGTATGCATAGCAAACCCCCAACCGCCATACCTGTCAAACCTGAGGTGGCATCATCGGATGATGAGTTTGATGATGATTTTGATCTGGAAGCCATTGAGCAAACTATGAAGCAAGCAGGTGAAGGTGGACTCGCTCATGTTCGTCACTCTTAGTCAGTTAATTTTTAGATATATGCTAAGACAGTCAAAACAAATAGAACCTCAAAGGTCGCCAAGCTATCAAACGTTACCGGGTCGTTGAGATCACGAAGAGCACATATGTTACTCCGAAAGGACGTACTCAGCCAGAGCAGGTCAGATACATTGCCCTTGCCTAGGATATAGTCCCGTCCGCTGACTTTGAGTACAGGGCTTGCTAGTTGAAGACGAGAAAACCCGAGACCGCAAGTCTATTATCTTGCGAGAGTCATGGTTCGACACTCCCTGCAGCAAGGATTCGTATATCCACCTAGTCGGGGACTTCAACGCAGCCGGCCAATGCATTGTGGATAATTTGAACCACATGATCATTCTTCACCCCGACCATCTCATTTCAGCTACGGTCGTAGCAGACTCGGTAGACTGCCAGCGACGAGCTGTGCTTCAAGATCGAGTCAAAGTCATTGGCGCACTCGAGCGACCGCAAGCCTTTGGAGTGTTTTTCCACGAAGTTTTTCAAGAAGCTCTCAAAGCGAACAAATGGGATATGAAGTCATTGAAGACATTGGTCGAAACCGTCCTGGGCAGACACATCGAAGAGCTGTACTCGATTCAAATGAGTATCCCAGAAGCTGTTGAATATCTCATGAGCAGGATGCCTGCTGTTCTAGACTGGGCAGATGCTTTCCTGCATCTCAAGCCACAGGTACGTCTCACGGCCGCTGGATGGGCGAAAGAGGCCAAGAAACCTTGCTAACCAAGATCAATAGGCCAATTCTATGGTTGAAGACCGCAATAACTCTAAGCTGAACTTGAGTATCAATAAACTGCTTGAGGTAGAGGAGCACATCTGGTCCCCAATGTATGGCCTCAAAGGCAATATCGATGCGACGGTACAAGTCACTTGCCGTGAAGATGAAATGGAGAAGAACCTGGTGGTTCCGCTGGAACTCAAGACTGGGCGAAGGGATACAAGCCAGTCACATAGGGCCCAAACAGCTCTCTACACTCTCCTCCTGTCGGATCGCTATGGTAAGTAATGAGGCCTCCGATCCTATTCCGACTAATTGACTAATTGCTAAAATTATCGCAGATATCGATGTTACATTTGGGCTTCTCTACTACCTCGAGTTAACGAAAACACTCAGCATCCGTGCGGTTCGACACGAACTGCTCCAGATGATCCAGGTGCGCAATCACCTCTCTGGCTATATTCGTGAGAGGCAGCAGCTTCCACCGATGCTGAAAAAAGCTCGTCAATGTATTCGATGCTATGCCAAGACTCCTTGTCTCATCTATCACAAGCTCTCCGAGGATGGCGATGGCGAGACCAGTGCACTTGGCGAGGATTTCGATGCAGTTGTTGGTCACCTGGACAACGGTGATCGGGACTTCTTTCGCAAATGGGATGAACTTCTCACCAAAGAAGAAGGTAATATCGTGAAGTTCCGGCGAGAACTTTGGACATTGCTGAGTAGCGAGCGAGAAGCCCTGGGTCGATGCTTCGGGGATGTCGTTATCGACCCGCATTCTGCGTATGAGGAGAAGACTGGGACAAGGATCAATCGCTACCATTATACGTTCGTTAAAAGACAAGCGTCTCCTGGTTTCTCCTTTGCTGAATCCCAAATATCTGTCGGTGAACCAATTGTCATTTCGGATGAGAAGGGCCATTTTGCTCTCACCAATGGATACGTGCTGCATACTAGTTCGTCACACATCAAGGTTGGCGTGGACCGGAAACTTCACAATGCACGATCAAAGACGACTGGCTTCGATGAAGTCACAAATCAGTCTTTCAGGGGAATCATGGAGATTGGGACAGAAGAGCCTGCTGCCCTGCAGAGCCCAGACGAGCAGCTCGTTTACCGGATCGACAAAGATGAGTTTAGCAACGGCATGGCCATTGTTCGAAATAATCTCATCTGTATGATGGATAAAGACTTGTTCCAAGCGAGGCAGCTTCGACAGCTCATTGTTCAGGGGCAGGCGCCTGCCTTCAAGACGATGTCGTCTTCATACTCGATCTCCGATCCTGGCAATCTCAACGTAGACCAAAGACAAGCCATTGACAAAGTGATGAGCGCCAAAGACTATGCTCTTGTCCTTGGAATGCCTGGGACTGGCAAGACCACGACCATTGCTCATATCATTAGGGCCCTTGTTTCTCAAGGCAAGAGTGTTCTTCTTACGTCTTACACCCACACTGCCGTCGACAACATTCTGCTGAAGATTCGAGACGACAACATCCGTGTACTGCGTATAGGTGCAACCGCCAAAATTCATCCAGATGTTCAGAAATTTGCCGATCTTGCCGCAGTCCAAAAATCAACCATTGAAGAACTTAAGGATTCATACGAAAAGCCGCAGGTCGTTGCCACTACTTGTCTCGGAATCAACCATAACATTTTCAACCAACGCATTTTTGACTATTGTATTGTCGACGAAGCATCGCAGATCACGCTCCCAGTCTGCCTCGGCCCGATTCGTATGGCAAGGACTTTCATCCTGGTGGGTGATCACTATCAATTGCCGCCGCTTGTGCAGAATAAAGCGGCCCAGGAAGGAGGACTTGATATCAGTCTCTTCAAACTACTATCGGATGCACAACCAGGTTCGGTTGTCAACCTAGAGCATCAGTACCGCATGTGTGAGGAAATCATGTTACTTTCAAACACTCTGATTTACTCGGGCCGTCTCAAATGCGGCACGCCGCAGGTAGCAGCCCGATCTTTGGATATACCCGACATCAACGCACTAGAGAAATTCCATGTCGAGGACTTGAGTCATGCTCTGTCACAGTCAACCCGAGAAATATGCCCGGGTGTCCCCAGTAGCCCGTGTTGGCTCCGAGACTTACTGACGCCATCTGCGAAGACCCGCCTGGTCAACACCGATCCCATCGGCCCCGCAGCCCTCGAGATAGCACAGGGAAACCGTGTCGTGAATCACATGGAGGTCTTCCTTTGCTCGCAACTTGTGGAGTCATTCATTGCCTGTGGTATTCCCGCGCGCGACATTGGTGTGATCACTTTCTACCGCAGTCAACTCTCGCTCATTCGCCAGAGCCTGCGACGCTACGGCCCAGATCTGGAAATGCACACCACAGACAAGTTCCAAGGCCGCGACAAAGCGGTCATCATTTTGAGCTGCGTCCGCAGTAACGCCGAAAACAACGTCGGCGAGCTACTGCGCGACTGGCGCCGTGTCAACGTCGCCTTCACCCGCGCCCAGACCAAGCTCCTCGTTGTCGGCAGCAGATCCACTCTCCGTGATGGCAACGAGCTCCTCTGCAAATATGTGCGCCTGATGGAAAGCAAAAATTGGGTTTATAACTTGCCCAGCGGAGCGATAGAGAAGCATTTCTTCCCCTCTTGTACCACACAATCGCAGCTCATGTCTCCGGGTGCGGCTTTGACTCCTCGCTCTACCAAGGGCAAAGGTAATGGCAAGAACAAATTGCCTCCTTCGCGTTCTTCCCGTGAACCACTGAGCCCATTGGGCTCCCGACAAGCAGCGCCCGGTCTACGAAAGCCTTCCAAGACAGGTGCAAAGTTGTTCAACGGCACGAAGGTGGTTGGGAATCGGCCCATCTTACGAGACATAGTGAATGACTTGACGGGCTAGCATACCTAGCATACAATGTTTCAAACAAGGCCCTTGTTTCTGTTCTTCAAATGCAGATCGAGGCGTCGCGTTTTATCATCACACGCGACTTGGCACGCTGATACAACCATTCGTCTTACATATGGTTTTTTTTTCTTTTGGGCTTGGGAAATACACTAAGCACTGCAGCCTGTTGGTTATTAGCTGTCAAATGTAGTCCCATTGTGAAACTGTAGTTTTCAAATAAGCAACAGCAGACGCTCGACATTCAGCCTCTCAATTAATTGAATTTACAATGGAATTGCTAAATGAAAAAATCGTATTCATGTAGGCTACAATCCATGTGTACCTACTGCGGCACCTTGATCACCGCCCTTCTCATGGGCAAACACCTCCTTCTCAACACCCTCCGTTCTTTCCTTGAATCGCTCGCAAATGTTCACGCATGTGCTAGAAGAGCACCATCTCCGCGCAATTCTACTTAGTAGAAACTCGTGCCTTCTTCGCCTGGGGTCCATTCAGGTAGGTACGGTCGCCATTGGGGCTAACAGTCCACCGGGCATGGTTGTTTGGGTTGGCCACAAAATTGGTAGGCACGATGTTCTCCGCAAACTCGAATGTTCTCTTCTTAGGCGAAGCGGCAGAAAGGGAAGAAACAGACTGCATGTGCTCCTGGGTAGGGGTGTAATAAGGTCCCTGCATTTGTTGGGTGGGTCGCCGAACCTGCTGGGCCGCTGAGGCATGGAGTTGCTGGGTTTGCCGCATGGCAGACTGCACGCGCGCCTTAAAAGGAGTTTGGTACAAGGTGGGCTGCTGCTGCTGAGCCACTGAATCTTGAAGTTTCTGGGATAGTCGGATCACAGACGCCATGCGCTCCTTGGAAGGGGTGTGATGGACTGCTTGCATATGGTAGGCGGGCTGCTGGACCTGCTGGGCCTCTGTAGCTTGGCGTTGTTGGGTTTGTTGCATCAAAGATCGCACGCGCTCATTGGGAGGGGTGGGATAAACCCCCTGCATTTGATGGGTGGGCTGAACCTGCTGAGTTGCTGTAGCTTGGTATTGCTGGGTCTGCTGCATCGCAGACTGCATGCGCTCATTGGTATTGGGAGGGGTATGATAAATTCCCTGCATGTGGGGGGTGGCCTGCTGAACCTGTGGACCCGCTGCGGTTGGGAATGGATGGGTCTGCTGCATTTGATGCTGTCGCTGAGACCGGTATTCACGGACTTGCGCTTTGTGCTTCATGACCTTGTCCAGACACAGCTGAAACTGCTGTTGATGGAGCCGACGCTGCTGTTGGTAGATCAGGAGCTGCTGTTGATCCCCGGGTGGCTGACGTTCGAGGTGAGCTTGCTGTTGCTGAAGTTGATCCCATTCAACACGAAGATATTTCTCTTCATTTTGAAGACGCTCATGGATTTCAAGCTGGTTCTGTTGACTGGGATGGGCTGCTGCCACTGGCGTCATCAAGGTAGAAACAGGGGTCATCGGGGCAGAGAACTGAGTCATTGGTGTCATCGGGGCAGACGCAATTTTCTGAGATGGCGTGACTGAGGCCAAGATTGTTTTTCCCTTCGCCTTGCGTGGGGTGCTTTGCACTTTTGTCTTCTTCTGTTTCTTGTGTAGCTCGTCATCTTGCTTCCTCTTAGGGACCCGCTTGGCTGCCTTATTGGGTGACTGCTTAGGATTAGGGCCCGGTTTGCCTTGTGACCAATCAAAGACCTTGACCGTTTCAGTTGCTGAGCTGGGGGTGGCAGGAGGAGCTGGAGCAATATTGGCGATGTCGCTGACTGAATGGGTCGCTTGGATAACCGGGGCATCAGTGGCAGGAGTGACTTGAACAGTGGGATCACTGATGACCGAAGCGCGCTGGGTGAATTTAGCAGCGAATTGCGTGACTGCAGCGACTCGAGCGACATGGGCAGCAGTGATAGGAGCGGTAGTAACAGGAGCAGCGGTGACAGGAGCAACTTTAACAGCCGGATCAATGATGGCTTGAGTATGTTGAGTGACTGGAGCATAAGTGGCGCAAGCAGGTCGGATGAATGCAAGGGGAGGACCCAGGTCGGCGTTTTCGAGAGACAAGAGGGTATCCAGCGGATAGACTATGCTAGGCTGCTTGGTGGAAGTGCTCAGTTTGGTGGAAGTGCTCAGTTTGGCGGAAGTGCTCAGTTTGGCGGAAGTGCTCAGTTTGGCGGAAGTGCTCAGTTTGGCGGAAGTGCTCAGTTTGGGCACATCATCATCAACGACGATGGGATTACACAAGCCACCGTGAAGCTCCAGGTGATCCAGAGTCGCTGGGCCAAGGACAGGGTCCTCACCGAGTGGGACAAAGGCATCTTCGAAAGTCGAGCCGGACGTGTTGTCCTCTCCCTCGAAGTGATATCCTAGGAACACAAGTCAGTTCAGTTCGACTTTCGTAAATAAGGAGATGTACGTACCATTAGCACGAGCGAGTTCCCAAAGGTCATTGGGGAAACCTGTCTCGGGAATTTTCCATTCTTCGAGGCCCAGGATACGGCCTTCATTAGAAGGCACACCGACGGGGCTCGAATTAGGCTTTTGCGAGTCTTGATCGCAAGGCACATCGACAAATGCGTCGAAAAATGATTGGGTAGGATCCATAATAGGCTCCATAACGAATGATAGAATAAAATGTGAATGTGAATGTGAATGAGAGTACAGGTGATAGAGCTGTCGAGTCAAAGAAGGTGCAGAAACACACAAAAGACGGATGAAGTGTGTTGATTGCTGAGCGAGTGGAAGACTCGAAGAGCACAGGCTATGAAACAGCTAATTGTATCTTGTAGTGAATGAATGGTGGTGGGATGAGAATGAAAATGCAATGAGCATGGGAAATGGGAAGGAGGGAGAGGAAAGAAGAAAAAAAGAGGGGGGATGGCAGAAGAGGATCGTGGGAGTGTAGCGATGTAGCGATGTGCTCATGTGCTCTCTTCAGGGCAAGATAATGGGTGGTTGGAGCCCTATGCCCCATGGGGAAGTTCAAGTGTTTGCAAAGGGCAAGGGTTAGGTCAGGGCTCGGTCACTGATGCTCCCATCAACTCCCAACAGAAAGTCACCCGGTCAGTTCCCACGGTTCCTTCGTCCTTCACCTGAGACGTCTGGCTAGATTCACTAGACTGTGCACTAGACTGTCCACTAGGAAGAACCATAACCATGAATCCGTCCCTTCCTTCCACGGCTTCTTTACCTAGAGTAGCGACGGCAAGTGCAAACCAGCTGGCCTTGGTGTTTTGCCTTTCCATTAGACAATGTTAGCTCTTGACCAGCCTTTTTTTGTAAATGATATTCGTGACTCACAACATATTGAGGAACAGCTGCATAGTCCAACGGGAGGATATCAAACCATGCCATTTTAAGCTCATCAAATCAGAGGCCTGGCCTTCCTCTGCGTCTGGAGCCGCATACCGACTAAGGTACGGATCGACGTCATCTTCCCCAGACAACCGCGGAGAAGCCATCTGAACCATGGCAATCCATTCGGATAGGGAGCCACAATATTCCTGCAGATCATCTTCCGACATATTCTCGAGTACTTTCCCGTTTTCGTAAAAGGGCGGAGTGATTATTTGCTCGTGGGCAATTTCCTGTGGCTCGCAGGTTATCAACTGTGGTTGAACCTTGTCGATCGGCTTGTTTCCTGCTCCAACTTTTAGTATATTCTTGCTACTATTTCCTTTTTTGGCTTCGGAGACATGATCACCTTCACCCGGACCAGGGTTGCTTTCCAGGTCGTGGAAGAGCCAGGCCATTGATTGAGTCAGAACATTGGTGAATGCCCATACAATTCTTTCGAAGCCCTTCTTGCCATGCAGCATCGAGGGCAGCCGTAAGTTCAATTCTACCACTGACGACATTATTAGTAAATATTCGACCAGCCCATTTGCTCTGATTGTACATACAGAATCTTTCTTTTGCATGTTTTCTGCCGCCGCTGCGGAAAGGCTTGCCAGTGAGACCTGTTCGCTCATATATCTCCTTTCCTAGTTCAATTCGAAGTACGCCTATTTCCATTCGAGTCAACTTTCGGTCCTGCAACGGAGACTCTTCCAGCCGCAGCTTCGGGGAAACGAACCGTCTTTGAGTGTGAAGACATTATCGGATCCCGAGCGTCCTTCGGAGATCATCAAAATATTCCCTATGTCCCAAGTCAGAGTGCCGTCTTTGATGAAATGGTCTCTCTGGGCACAAAAGCTGTCTGATGCTTGTGCAAATGATGGCCACTCAAATGTGGAAAAGCCTTTATACTGGTCTGGCGGAGACATAAATACCTGACTTGATGTATGTGTTGAAGAATTCATGCTCAAGCAGAGCCGAAGGAGTCATGAAGACTCGTGCATATCGAGGTTTTTCCAGTTTGGTCTCGAGCGACGGCTTGATCTGTGAGTAGAACTCCTTTGGCAGGATAACCTCGACCTATGACCAACAATCAGTCAAATGACCCTTAATCTCTCAAAAAAGCCATAGACCACCTACTGAGTGTACAAATGCATGATTTTGAATCGTTGAAAAGGGCGATCTCTTGCTTGGGACCTGCTTTGGGTTGATGAACGCCGGCAGCTGAGTGATGGTTGTGAAGCACTTTTCGCGACGAGACGATTCGTCTACTTCTTGAAACATGTTGTCTCTGATAGTCTTCGAAGTGATGCTCAACGTTGACAATCGACGCTCTCGAGTGAAGAATCAAATTTCCAGCCGAAGGGTGAGGTTCGATTAAGCTCGGGCTTATCGGACCCATAAGGCTGCAGCTATCAAACCTTCCACATTCAAATGGAATTTGGGATATTCTATCAACTTCTAGGTAGCCATTGTAGGAATATTATACAGAAACCAGATGTATTGGCCTTGAATGGCATGTATGAATTCAAGATCAAGGTTATCAATAAATATTAGTAGTCTCAATTTCGTAACGAGTATAATGGCTCAATGTAGCTTTGCTCTTATGTCACTTGTAAGGGTAATCTGAAATTAGGTAGAGCTCAGTCTAAATACTTCTGAATAGAAGTTCACTCCAATGGCTCTTATCATGTGGTCATTGTGTACATATATGCATGTATTCATATAGAGCAAACAACATACACGTCAATTAGAATGGATAATGCATCTAAACAATACCAATAACATACAACGTACGCCTCTACAAAGAAACAGAAAATGTAATTAATTCAAAAACAATCATAATTCACCAATTGTAACCTAAGAAATCATATTGTCTATGGCATATTTCCTGGTGGTGTGCCAAAACGCATTTTTTCCGGGAAACTGCAAGGCGTAGCTAATTACAAAGCTCACTCACTTCTTACTATTTCCTTTATGTAATTCCCATTTTTTCTAGTGACCCAATCGCAACTTGGACGCAAAATCCAATTCCAATCCAATACATTATACGGCACAGGGAGCAGTTCACCCAACTTCTGTAATTTGTTTTTGAAACCTCACCAATACCAACTTTGGTATTAACCGAACATATAAAGCTGTTTTCTGATCTCTGTCTCCGAAAGCCGCTCCGAGCCGAAAGAACCGGTCGAATCATCGACAACGGTCGCCCGCTCAACAAACCAATCGGTCATTTTATACCCATCACTATCGAGGATCATAAGCTGGATAAGAATGCTAGGACGTACTACTACCCCCGCAGCGGTCAAAATGTCATCATATTCCTGCATGGCATGATATGTATCGGCATTATAATTGAGTTGTGGCCAAATCTGAAGTGAAAACGGTCTGTATATTGCTTCCGGTATCATTGGAGATTTCCACAATGATATATGGGAGATCCTCAGAATCACAGTCTGTGACGCGGGGTGACAGTCTGAGTCGTGCGTAGAACTGGTTGAACGCGTCCCGCGGTCAATTTCGGAAGCATTGACCTGGGATAAAATATACCTTATGCATCGCACCAGGTTCTGTTTGTACGCAAGAACTCCAGAGTTTCATCTGTTGCCGTTCTTTCTATGACGAGATTAGTCGTTGAATCTTTTTCGAAAGACCTTTTCGAGGATAGGGAAGTATACCTTGTCATGCTCGAGGCTTTGCTGTATCATCTGCCGGCTCACCCCCTGAAAAGCTTAGGAGTTAGGGATAAAGCTAATTGTTCTACAAGAAGACCTTACCTCAAACCACACTGGTCGATCCATAATTCCTCGAGATCGGGTAAGGAATGATAGACCTGACCGTCGCACACATATATAGATCTCCCATTGGGTGGTCCAAGGAGAAACCTAAGCTTCTCAGTTTTATACATATTAATCACAAACTGAATATTGGACCATTGCGACTTGATGCTCTCGTCCTTGAGGTATCCCTCAAGTTTCTTGATGCGTTCTTCTCCTGAGACCTCATAGGGGTGCGAGATAGCGGGAAGAGCTTTGCTAAGGTCGAACTTTTCGATATGTTCCATCTTGACTAGAAATCATTAATGGATGATTTGGGTTGAAAGAGGAGTTTCCTATACAATATATGGAGATAACGGGAGAAGTTAGCTTCTGGGTTAATTTCTTAGTGGAATGAATGTAGGACGGAAGGACAGCGAAGCGGCAGTTATTAAGTATTTGACCGCAGGTATCATGGGACCTTGGGGACCTCGGGGTTCACCTGGGCATCAACGACAAGGGTATTAGGGTCTTGTCCACTACATCACATACATGAGCTTGGCAAGCGCCAAGTAATCACTGATAAGGACCACTGGTGGTGCCGATAAAGATTCCCCGGCAGTATCGGGCTACCCAAAGGCGGTATCCCGAGTACTCTCCAATTCGGTCCGTCTATCGTTCGAATAGCATTCAGTCTAAACCGCTAGGTCCTATCGGTCTTATTTCTGCTACTGCTTCTGCCGCTGGTTCGAATGCAGGTAGACATCCGGTCTTGCGCCAATTGCTAGAGGAGCAAGACGAAGAGATGGCGCCCGCTTCGCGTCGCGAGCTCCTACACAAGGATCACTTTGCATTCGTTTTTGGAAGCGTGAAGACTCAAAACTACTTAGATCCTGTTTCCAAAGGACCAGGCTCTCACACGTGAGTATGGCTTTTGCGCCCGGGGCTGTCGTTTATTTGCTGACAACGATCTGGAACCACAGGATTCGCACTCTTGCTTGGAACCCAACGGGCCAGCTGATTGCCACTGGCTCAGCAGATCGCACTCTACGAATCTGGAACCCTGAACGTCCTAATGTACGATACTCCACCGAATTGCGTGGTCACACAGCTGGTATCGAGAAGGCTCTTTTCAACCCAGTCCGCGACGCGGAGCTAGCCAGTTGCTCGGCCGATGGTACGGTGCGCTTCTGGGATGTGCGCTCCAAAACATGTGTGAGCCGTCTAGATGTCGGCGGCGAAGCATTTACACTCTCCTGGTCTGCTGATGGCAGCACAATGATCGTCGGCAAGAAGGTAACCATGCTGCGCTGCGACTCCGCAGACTTGATCTCTCTAGTGGCACAGTCACTAACATATGATATGTAAACAGGACGACACCTTAATCCCCGTCTCCGTTCAATTCCCCTCTTCTCCTACCACCCATCCTGATGGCGCAAATGCTCTTAACCTCCCCTCCTCTACACCCGGCGCAACCACATACACAGCTCTCGACCCTCACCCTCAAACCGTCCAAACAAATGCGACAACCTTCTCCTGGTGCATGCCGACACCTGAACGTCCGGGGCAGCAAATATTCGTGACGACTGGCGAAGGCAAGGTCAAGATCATGTCCTACCCTTCCTTCGATATCATGCACACTCTCAACGCCCACACCTCGGCCTGCCTTTCAATTGCGCTCGCGCCGACAGGCCGATACCTCGCAGTCGGTGGGAGCGATGCTCTCATCTCCCTCTGGGATACAACCGACTGGATCTGTCGTCGCACTTTGTCCAGCGAGAATGGTGGTGCTATTCGTGGCGTGAGCTGGAGCTTCGATGGCCGCTACATTGTAGGCGCATGCGACGAGCTTGGATGTGGTGGGAATGGACTGGAGATCTTCCACGCGGAGTCTGGTGATAGTATTTACACGATTCCTACTGCCGGCATCAATGCCGGTGTCTCTGCTGTTGCGTGGCATCCATCTCGCTACTGGCTAGCTTACTCGACTACCACTGATGGACCTGGTAGCTCCAGCGCTGGAGGCTTGAAGATTGTCGGTGCTGCTGGTGGTGGCTTGTAATCTCGAGCCTTAGATTTTGCTTCCTCTTCTTGGGCAGGCCTTTTTTTAGCCCTACCCTATCAAACTATCATGAATGGACGTATCGAGAAAGAAAAAAAAGGGACGAGTGCCAAATTAGATCAATAGATTTATTGATTGTAGTGCTTGTAGTGATTGGCTATTAACATGGATTGACAGGCCGAAATACTCCAATTACCAACCGTATAAGCTATCCAAGAGTGAAGAGTTCCGCCCCAAAAAGACCGTTCATTCGTTCGTCATCAAATCATTTAAAAGCAGAGCTCAATGGAAGCTTATCAGGCTGCCACTTCACTCGAACATTGTGGGAAGAAGATAATTGCAAAGGGGTTAGGAGTTCCGTAGGTAAATCAGGAAAAGAAGATACTCGGTCCAAGATATCGTGATAAGTGACCCCAATATTTGTGGAACTAGGGCGAGGGAGAGAAAACAAGCAAAAGAGAAGTACCCAATAGGATGACGACCTGCTTCGAGTCGCATGTGAGAGGATTGATAAAGGCGTCGATGAATTAGTGAGAGGCTAGGATCTCATATTATGAGCAGATTGAGGGACTCAATGTCATCCGTTCAGCGGCAACACGAGAGATTTCACTTGTTGCAACAATCTCAAGCGAGATGAGTTATGACACTGGAGACTATTGAACCATATTCCAACACGCGTTGCGCTCATGATGGCCGCCAGTTCTCCCAGCCAGCGTTGATCGGACTTTCACCCTGGATTTGACCATTCAAGATTTGAGCCCATTGAGATTCACTGAAAGCCTCCATGTTTAGGTTACCAAAGCCTTCATTGCCCGTTTCTGGATTTGAGGGTGGAAGGTCCCATGCAGAGGGCATGGAGAAGATCCCCGACGCTCCTGCAACCGACGGGCTATTAGAGCTGTTTGGATAAAACCGACCAGACATGGAATCCAAATCGGTGGCTCGCGGATTTGTGTTTCCTTGTGGCATGATGTCTGAATTGACCTTATCAAAGGACTGGGCTGACTCCTGACTCGGATATCCCGAGTTTGTCTTTCGATTCTTGTTTCCGGGCGGTGGGTCGTCAGCGCCATTGATTGAATAGGAAGTGTTGGAAGATGAGTTCAGGGTTGAGGGGGTGGGATGGTCTGATGGTGGGTTGTTTCTGTCGCTGAGGTTGCCGAAATCAGATCGGAAATCCATGTCTGTATCGATAATGGCCCCTGGTGGTCCGGCTTGATCCGTCGCCTGAGTGGAGGTTCCGAAAAAGTGACTTGTGTCATCGCCATTAAAGACTGGTCCTGCAGTGGGCTGTGTCGTTGAGTCCCTGTTCCGGCTTGGGAGCGACGTCGTCAAACCGGCAGGCATAGGCTGATTGCCGCCGCGATTGGTACTGTATTGTGGAGGCACCTCCTTCGCCATCCCTTGTGTTTGGCGGAGGTTGTATATGGGAGTACATTCGACCTTATCGTTGCAGTATGATTGCTAGAGAAGATTGGATTAGCTTCGATTGGCTATTTGGAAACAAGCCCGGGAAACCTACTACCATGGAATGTGCAGCAGACATGTTGGTTCTCTGTCTATCGTCCAAAGCACGAATGCCAGTTCCATCAAGGTCAACATCCAATTGAACAAGAAAGGACTCGGTCAGAGGGTTTTTGTTCTTCATCGCGTTTAGAGCGGAGACAAGAAATTGTAACGAGGAATAAACACTCGAGTCATCTGGTCGGGATTTAAGATACTGCACAAAAACACGAGCGGCAATATAGAGACAAAATGACATGAAAGGATTCAGCTGCAAGGCGTTAGTGCAAATGCTTTTTAAGTAAGAAAGCTCAATAGAAACTCACGCTCGTCAGATCAACGTGGCTGATCATCTTCATGGTACTCGAAATCTGGTTTGCGGCGACAAGGCACCTGCGCTTGCTCTCGGTCGTAATCTGATTCGGCATCTTGTTCTTTTCGGCCTTGAATATTGCCGCTTGGTGAAGACATATAGTTGAAGTATGAATGCTCATGTTGGCGAAAATGACGTTCACGTCCGAGACGCCACTTGGGAGTCGAAGATGATCAGGCAACGAGAGCGAAATGTGCAAAAGAATATTATCATGGCTCCTGTGGCGCTTCCAAAAATCTCCATTGAGGTCATGATCGTTGTCTTGGGGCTGAGGCCGATGGATATGTATGAGATTACGACCGAAAAGACTTGCCAGAACCACCACGCATGCAAAAGGGGCTAGTGTAGATACACCCTCCCCGGCAATGATATCGTTCAGAGGAAGTGTTCGTTGTGGCTTGCTCTTGGTAAAAGAGTCTTCGGATGCGGGGAGGTTTGTCATAATCTGATTGTCGTCAGCATACAGCTCTGCGCCATAAGTGGGTTCACGAGATACTAACATCGTTCTCATCAATAAGAATGGGCCAGCCAGTTCCAACGCTCGAATATCGATCCGTGGCAAATGCGCCCCAGAAGACTCTCCTACGTTCTTCGCGCTCTGTCCAATCTTTCGGTGGTAAAATGGATTGTTTGACGTCGAGACCAACACCATCAAGACGATTCAATCCCAGCATCAGTGCGAGTCTTGCGGCTTTACCAACACTCAGCCAGGCTCGTGGGAAGAAGATCATTCGGAATTCATATGTGCCGATAAATATCCATGTTTGGCAATGTGCTAAACTGACGATGTTCTCTCCGAATCCTTTCATTTCGTCCGCCTCGGCATATTTGCGTGCCCGCTGGTAGAAATGACTATGTAGGAAGAAGTATTTGTCGCTGACAGATGCGGCATTGCACCACATAATGTATCGCAAGCAGATCGGTGGGCGCATATTAGGGGCAAGATTCAGGGCTGCATAGTAACGCGGGCGGTGGATAATGGGCATCATTGGATAGATTTTCTCAAAGAATAAAGCGTCCCTGCACGGTACCAATGTATTAGTGACCACAAGTAGAAAGGCGCATAGAACACGTACAGTTCATCGATCACGTCCTGTGGAGGAAGGGGCTCCTCTAGTCCTAGACTGATCAAGTCCCATTGAGAGTTGTCACCCTGGGTAGTTGGCGGCGGAGGATACAAAATTTGACTTGGCTGGCCTGCGCCGGGGGCAATAGAAGCTGAGAACGAGTTATCCATGTTGCCTCCAATGCCTCCCAGCCCTCCTAGGTCCGAAAGGTCGGGCAAATCCAGTATAGATTCATCGGCGATAGGTGCTGTGAATGCATTCTCCAATGGTTGAGGTTGGGAGGTTCGTTGGGTGGGTTCCGGATCCTGGACTTTGAGAAGAGTCTCTACCTGAGCTGATAAAGTCATGATCGTTAGTGATATAGCTCACGGTCAATACGGCATTTGCGACCATTGTCCCAGCAAGTTCGTACCTAACCGCGCTTCAAGCTGCTTAACATATCCCCGTTTAGGACCACTCTTCTTCCGCACTTCATCGTAAGAACATTCATGTCCCAGACGTGAGCAAGTCCCACAGCTCGGGCGTCTCCCATCACACCTTAGTTTCCTCCTCCGACAGACAACACATGCGATGCGCTTGGGGCGGGGAACGAAGTTGGTTTCTCCGGTGCTAGTGCTTTCGGCAGCGGCGCCACTTTCACTAGACATGAATTCCATTTGAGACGGGCCGAATTCTGTGGAGTATTGCGACGATTCGGGTCCAAAAGTAGACGCCGGAGGTGCCGCCATAGCGGGCTTGATTGCAGACTTGTGATCTCGGAATATGGTGCAGTAGGTGAGTAATTCGAGTGAATGAATTGATCTTGAATAGCTCCGGTTTGTCCGGGCGCGGTGTTATTAGGCAGAAGCTAATAGGATAGACCTGAGGCGTCAAGAGCCAGGAACATCCAAATGTTGGCCAGATGTGCCGAAGTGGGGATGTGAAAAGGAAGTTCTATGAATGATGGCGAAGTTCGTATCAGCAGAGGCTGAGCGTCCGGCCCAACCTGTCTTTATGAGGAGCTAGATCAAAGAGCCCCTATAGTTCCTTTCGATCGGATTCTAATTAGAGCCATGGGAAAGTCCTGAATTTTCATTCTAATCCCCAACAAGACCCTTGACAGGTGCGATCAGCGGAGTGCCACGCACCAGCTACACTGCCTGGAGGCTTGGCACACATCTAGTGGGATCCGGCTAATCAGAGTAGAGATAGAGTATCTTGTACGGAGTATGTGCACACCATTATATATATCTACTATGTGCAGAGAGAGGAAGCGGTTTCTAAATCTATTTTCTTTCGCTTTGAATGCATATGGCCTCGAGCCATCGTACTGTACAGTGCCCATTGCCCGAGTTTCAGTCTGCGCAAAACAATAACCCCCAAGAAATAGCGCGTGGTAGAAGAAACGATGAGACATTTGATGTGTAGAAAAAAACAGGAAAAGATATCGTACAGTCATCCTCTGCGCGGTAGGGATGAGGTATAGGGTGAGGAGGTACAAATGGGTCAGAGACAAAGCAGAGTGAAATGCCCAGTTCGGCAAAGCAGCATCATCTTTAGTTGTATCCACGACGGCGCTTTCCTTGGTTGCGAGGTCTGGCATGAACAACGGCCTTGTTGATCTTCCACTTTGGGCGGGTCTTGTAGCCGGATTTGGTCTAGAGGTGAAAAGTAAGAGTCAGCCCGATGGAAGTTCAGAAGATACAAAACAAAAGGATATACATACCGGAATACCCCAAGGACTCTTCGGGTCGACGTTACCCTTAGACTTTCCTCGTCCACCACCGTGGGGATGGTCCATGGCGTTCATGGCCAGACCACGCACCGTCGGACGAATGTTAAGCCAGCGTGAGCGACCAGCCTTTCCGAGCTGGGTGTATTGGTAGTTCGGGTTGCTGGTAATACCAACGGTAGCGCAGCAGTCCTTGTGGATGAGCCGAGTCTCTCCACTTGAGAGACGGACAGTGATGTGCTGGGCCAGACGCTCCTGCTTCTGCTGGTCACGCTGCGACAAGGGCTTCTTCTCGGCCTCGGGCTCTTCGTTTTGAATCGTTTGCTGACGCGAGTCACTACCCTTGGCCACAACTGTAGCATATGTTCCAGCACTCCGACACAATTGACCACCCTTCCCGGGTCGCAATCCCAAGTTGAAGATCAATGTTCCCACTGGAACCATGTGCAACGGCAGACAATTTCCTCTCCAGGCGGTTCTGGCCGCGAGCACACCGGGATCGACAGTGCTGCCCATGCTCTTCCACAAGTCTTCGGGAATTCCGGACATATAACTCTGGACCACGTCGCCGGCGCGCATACCGTCCGCGGCGAGAATGTAGCTCAACTTGCCGGTCTCCTTACTAGAAGTCAGGGCGATATGCGCTGTGCGCCCTGGATCATACTCGATACGCTCCACTGTGTGCGGCCCCGGAGCCATGCGCAGAAAATCGATCGTCCGAATTCGACGCTTGGCACCACCTCCATGATGGCGGACAGTGACTCGGCCAGAGTTGTTTCGACCACCCTTGGCGTGGCCACGCTTGGGAAATGTTAATTTGTGCACAGGGCGGCCTTTCCACAAATGATCATTGACAGGACGCCGCAGATGTCTCACACCGGGGGTTCGCGGAGTGTAGGTGCGCAGCTGAATGCCAGAAGCATCACGGCCGGGGGGAGGAGCGAACGAGACATTCGGGTCAATAAAAGAGTTCGCCGGCGTTTCGATAGACTTGGGCTTGGTCTTCTCAATTTCATTCACGATTGTCGAATAGCCTCGGATTGGCAAAGGCAGAGAGGAGAGACACCTAAAGGGCAGCCGAATGCCCCGTAGGGCAATTCGGGGTTGAAGCATTGCTGCCAAAGGATTGGGGGGGAGGATGGAAGAGACGGGGCTTAAGGGAATCAATTGAATAAAAGTGTGATTGATGAAAGCCAAAACGTCAATGGAGCAGACCAACAAAGACTCAACAGCTCCTCTCCTCTGCTTTGTAGATATGCACCTAACTCTCCACAGGAACAAAAAGTTCGATGGTCACGTGACTCTCTTACTGCACCGCCTCTCCCACTGCCACAACGCGTAAAAGGTGGCTGATGTCAGGTCACGGGGCTTCCAAGGTTCATCGTTGTCAATCTCACCGCCCTATGTCCGATTCGATACACGTGACTCCTTTGTTACGTGAGGTTCGATACTATACGAGACCGAAACGGTCGTTGTCGCAGCAACCACTTTATTTACTCGTTGCCATACTCACGCGTATCTCCCTTCATTGCTGGATCTACTTTTCTCGACTATCTCAGCACATCTTTTTCTCGTTTCTATTCCGTTCTTCATTGCTCAGCTCAATTCTTCATCCTAGAAATTTACAATAGAGAGGTCTTGAACGCCAACCCGGTGATCCACGCGACTGGCTGAGTGGGGCAACTTGTTTTCCACGCTAAGCACAGTACTAGGGCCAAACATCGCCTTTTGCCCTCAAGCTCTCTTCCTTTTCCCTCATCATTCCAGTTAAAGCTACCCTTCCATCTTCCCACCCCCCCACTCCAGACTAACAAATTATCGCGTGCGGATTCCTGTTGTACAGTGTCCCCAGATCAATTCTGTATCATTTGCCATCTTTTTCCCCCAATTCGCGCGCCATTTGATCTTCGGAACCAGGGTTCTGCGCGGTCTTGATACACATCAACATAGTCTCCTTTGAGCCGTAAGCACCGACTCATATCATCTCCACCTGTCTGAAAGCTCTCTCTGCCTACTGGCATTGTAGTCTCTTCAGCACAACTGCATTTTCACTCTTGGTACGTGCACCTCGTCCTTCATCCTCTGGTATGAGGTCCCCGCCAAGGTAATATCAAATGGAATGCTGACCTGATTTCCCGAGTAGGACAAGAACCATTATATCCCTGTCCCCTTTCTCCCATCCCTACGCGTCGTTTTCCTTTTATTTTCCTCAAGATGCCTCAGGTGAGCAATCTTTAGCCTGCCAAAACACGTGTTGATATCCTAGTCGCGGGATATCTAATCCATAGCCTCGAGATCTGGGTGTATCCTATGACCTCACTAGACCGACCACTAACTCCACTACAGGCCCGCAGCCTTCGTACGAGAAGCACGATGAATGAAAACGATGAGAACGGTCCGTCAGCACGTGTGACACGGGCCAAAGCAGCCGCCCTCAGCACCGATGCCTCTGCCGCTGGAGCTAAGAAAGGCCTGCAGACTAAGCGAGCCACATCCACCACCACTAATGGATCGCAACGTCCTCGTGCTGCACTCGGTGATGTCAGTAACGTCAACAAGACCGACGGTGCTGAGATCAAAGGTGGGAAGAAGCCGGTCGCTGCCAAGGTTGGTTTGACTTCAAAGGCAACTGTCCAGACTGGAGGTGTTCAGAAACTCAGCCGCAACAACTCGTCACGAACCGCATCACGATCTGCCCTCCAACCCCGCGACTCGAACAAGAAACCTGGTCCCAACGCCCATAAACGTCCGTCGCTTAAGGATACAGCCATCTCGGAAGAGCCTCCCCGCAAGAAGACCGAGCTTGAGCGAAAGAAGCCCGAGGCCGAACGGAAGAAGCCTGAGCTCGAGCGAAAGGCCCGAATTATCGAGAAGATCGTGGAAGAAGAGGAAGTGAAGGAGGTGGAGATTAGCGTGAAGGATGCTCTGAACGAGGCCGTGCAAGATCTGGACACCGAGGACTTGGATGACCCATTAATGGCCGCTGAATACGTGGTTGAAATCTTCGAGTATCTCAGGGACCTTGAGATCATTACTCTGCCCAACCCTGATTACATCGACCACCAGCCCGACCTTGAATGGAAGATGCGTGGGATCCTTGTCGACTGGCTTATCGAAGTGCACACCCGTTTCCGTCTGCTCCCCGAGACCCTGTTCCTCGCCGTCAACATCATCGATCGCTTCCTGTCGGCCGAAGTTGTCGCCCTTGATCGTCTTCAGCTCGTTGGTGTCACCGCCATGTTCATTGCTTCTAAATATGAGGAGGTGCTTTCCCCTCACGTCGCCAACTTCAGCCATGTCGCCGATGAGACCTTCTCGGATAAGGAAATCCTCGATGCCGAACGTCACGTCCTCGCAACCCTCGAGTACAACATGAGCTTCCCCAACCCCATGAACTTCCTGCGACGCATCTCCAAGGCCGATAACTATGATATCCAAACCCGCACTCTGGGCAAATACTTGATGGAGATCAGTCTCCTCGATCACCGTTTCATGTGCTACCCGCAGAGTCACATCTCTGCCGCAGCCATGTACCTTGCACGTCTCATCCTCGAGCGTGGACCTTGGGTATGTTTTTTTTTTTTTTTTTAAATTCGTTTTGCCTGTGCCACACAGCCCAACTAACTTGTCATAGGATGCCACTCTCGCTCACTATGCTGGATACACCGAAGAGGAGATCGATCCCGTCTTCCAATTGATGGTTGATTATCTCCACCGTCCCGTCTCCCACGAAGCCTTCTTCAAGAAATACGCCAGCAAAAAGTTCCTCAAGGGTAAACTACTTTGATAATCCCCTTGTCGCGAGATCAAATATTAACCGTTTTGCAGCTTCTATCTTGACCCGCCAATGGGCTAAGAAGTATCACCACCTATACGTTGACGTCTCCGACCATGTCACTTACAAGGTGGAACAGTAATTGTACCACTTACGATGTCATGCTACTCCTGTCTCGGCAAAGTCGATTCCTTTCATGACTTCCTAAGGCTCTTGCGACGACTTGAGCAGGGAAATCGAATTCCTACATATGTTGGCATTTCATTGTGCTGGTATTCACTACCTTTTGCATATTCTTACGACGACTTGATTAAATTTCTGCGCTTTCCGCATTTGTCTTCTGTGGTGGGGTGTTCGGCGCTTGTCCCTGTCTGCTATTGTTCTCTTATTTTACCCACACATCAACCTCGGCTTGCTTGTTTTACATGCGTGAGCATTGTCTCCCGCCTGTCTTGATATCTTTTACATTGTCGTCATCGTGTTGCAGGAGTCGGGATCTATTTTTCTCCTTCAAATCTCAGTTTTACCTTGTCTCGCCCTCATTCACCCTCGTCATAGGTTGGACGGTGCAGTGTTATCCCTTTTGGATCCTTTTTTTGTTTGGCATGCAAGTTCCCAAGGCTTGCACGTTTGCGTGGCATTGCGGATTGGAATATTTTGTGGAGCCAAGGTGGCTAGGGTTTTTGTTTTGTTTCTCAGGTGTTTCTCAATTCATCGGCTGGAAGATTCAATTGGTTACTAGAGCTGAGTCTTCTAGGCATGCAAAATTGGTATCAGATGGACGGTCGAGGAGGTAATCAGTGACAACTTGGGCCGCTTTTGTTTTCTTCAAAATAGTTGGATTTCTAACACTGGATCCGTGTGTATGGCGTGCTTATTGGAACCATTTCTCTTTTTATTCTTTCTTGTTGGTTTTCTGATAGATCTGGGGTTGGTTGTAGATGCGTGCAATTAAGCTCACCTGGGCCTGCTTAGCCGAGGCTGGTCCCGAGGTCCTTCCAAGGTTAGCCCCGGGGCACGGTAAGCCGCTGAATTACCTTTGGGAACCTTACTAGTTGCATCCGTCCTTGAGGCTGATACTGGATTGACAATAATAACCCAACATCCCGACGGAATAAATATATGATTCTATCTCGTCATGGATTTCACCGCACCCCCGCCGTGCCCATTCTGCAATATCGCCTCATCATATCCCCCAACCCCCTTCAATGACCCTGAGTTCAACCCAGTCTCTACTGCCCCGGATTCAGGTCCATTGTCCCACATCATCCTCTCTACTGAGCATGTCCTCGCCTTCTTGGACATTATGCCGCTTACCCGCGGCCATGTCCTTGTAGCGCCAAGGAATCATTACAAGATGCTAGGAGACATGGGTGTTCAAGCAGGGCAGGAGGTACGTAGTTATTTACCATCTGCGCTTATTCCAAAACGCTTCCTTGACTGATCCATGTCTTTGATTTCATACATAGATGGGGAAATGGCTGCCTATCCTCTCCAGGGTTGTAACGAAAACTGTGTTTGGCGATGATCCAGATAGACATTGGAATGTTGTGCAGAATAATGGTATGTCTTGCCCTTGCTTTTCTCCATTTCCCGAAACCCTTGATCTTTAAATTATCGGATTTGAATACGGGGTATTTCTACGTTTTATGCTGTTATGTATGTTATGTACCAAGATTGGCATTCAAGGAGGTTGAACGCCCCTGACCGATATCTTAATATTTTTTGTCGCTAAAACAGAACGGCATCTTCTGATCACATGTCTATGGAAGAAGGAAAAAAGCAATCATCTAACTGAGTGACAGGCGAAAGAGCAGCACAGGTAGTACCCCACGTCCATTTCCATATCATCCCGCGCCCTGCTCAAGGGGTCAATCAGAGAACAAGCTTTGCTATGTTCGGCCGTGGGCAGAGAGAGGAGCTCGACGATGATGAGGGTGAGGCCTTGGCTCGTGAGATGAGAGTTGAACTGGCTGAGGAAGTCAAACGAATTCAAAGAGACGAGGGTATAGACTTGGCTGGAGGCTTGGTTTCAGAGGAAAGCAAGCGAGGGAAGTTATAAAGCACGCTGTCCCTAGTACTCTCTTTTGTTCTTGCATCTATCATTGGTCCCGTCTTCGGGTTTTCGCTGTATATAGCTATTTCCATCGATCGGTGTTCGGAAGTCCCCGGGCCGAAGCTTCCTGTCTGATTTACTATGTTGAGGTTCTTATTCTGTCTTTTTTTGATCCTGATCGACCCGTGTGCCGTGGCCTCGGAGCATATGCTAGTTCGACAAGTTAGCCGGGTAGTAAGTCATCAACTCCCAAATAATACGTACCACTCGTCGGAATGCATTGAGGTCATCCGCAGTAGTACCCTCGTCGTCAATCTTTTTCCGGGCCAGTGTAACATCCGACAGTTCTCCCTCAGGTAGACGGCGGTACGTTATAAGTCGGCGAGCCCCTGTAAGATATAAAATCAGCCGATGCCTTTCGACATGGTTGTAGCACAAGGCTGTCACTTACAAGTGTTGAAACTCTGAACAGAGATACTGACGATCTCGAGGTTCTGATGCATGGGAACAGGGAACTCGGTTTTCTCATCATTTGTTGTGGGCATCCACATTGACAAACGCCCATTGGGAACTAAGGAGCGAACTGCGAAGTTGAGAACGTCGTTTTGTAGAGCCTCGAAGCCATACGGCCTTTTGGGAGCAATGAAACCAGGTCGGCTACAGGTTAAAGTCAGTATTTCAAGTCGGAGAGGAGAAGCAAGAACACATACAGATAGGCAGGAATGCCATCAATGATCACATTGACCGCAGGTTTCCCCTTTCGATTTCCCAAAACACGAAGCCCTTCACGCACACCGTATGGCGGATCGCACACAATACCATCCAGCACGGCGGTTCTCGTCAGTGGTGTATTGGTAAGATCGGAAGTGAACGTATCAATGAACTTGCTCTTGATCCCATATTGATCGAAGTTCTCGTATACGCCCAGTTTTCCTTTCTCTTTGCCACGGAAGCTGCGACCATCAATGTCTGCACCCAAAGTCAGAGCCCCGAAATGCGAAGCAGCAACTATGAAGCTCCCAGTTCCGACAAACGGATCAAAGAACAATTTTCCAGGCGCCGCAAGAGCCATGTTCGCCGTAATAAGACTCAACTCTGCATCCATGGAAGTCGTGCTGATATAACGACGCTTCTTGAGGTCGTATTTGAGCACGTCCTCGCGACAGCTATCAGCAATCTTGCGACTGAGATAAATCTTCCGCGGATCTTCCGTTCGCGAAACGCCCAGTTTAGAGACTTCAACGTCGTCGATGTACTCTTCCATCACAAAAAACTCCTCATCGGGGTCTTTTAGCCGGATCGGGCCTTTGAACCCCATATATGAGAAGGATCGAATGATCTCTCCCTTCTGAACTAGGCTGCGCGTTCCTGCAAAGTAGTCAATTGTGAATTTGAATGGGACAGCAATGTAGTCGTTCCAGCGATGCTGAGTTCGTCGACGGACATCTGCATGTAGCTCTTCATAGTTGGTGCCTTCGCCCCAAAGCTCGAAGATGTCCTTGACTAGAATACTGCGCTTGGCAACTGCCCGCGCCGCGGCTTCATCTGGTAGTCTCACGACACAGTATGGTGACTAGGGATATCAGTCAAAATTCTGCAAATTGAGGATAGTCATGAAAGGATAGAGAGAGGAAGGGTGACATCGTTGTGGACCAATATTCATGGAGTATGGACAAATGACGATCCCAGTATTGATAGAAAGGGTATCATACATATTCATTGTAGGTGATGAATTCGATGTCGGCGCCGGCGAGCGTGGCACAGGCTTGAAGTTCCGGCCGTCGGAAGGTCTCATGGAGTTGGGCGAACCGAACCAGATAATCCATGGCTAGCGAGACGAATATCTGACTGCTTTATTCAAGGATCCCTCTTTAGTGGGAGTTTATGTAACTCGTTGCTGCTTTGAAGGCGGGGTGTTGCGGGTTGAGATTTTTTTTTCTCGGGTCTTCAGAAATATACTCCACGGCGACAAAGTATGTTCAGAGATAGGATGGTTTAATATCTCCAACAAAATCAACTATATTTTGGAAATACTACATTTAGCATAAAGAGATAATTGCTATCTTGGAATATGACTTAAATGTTTCAATCGAAAAGGGCTGTACACAAGAGAATGAAATGATTGATTGAACTACAGTCGACGAAACCAAGGTCTACCCAGGTATGATATCGCACCAAAAAAAGAAAAAGAAACAGACTACATAAGATATATCACCACATCTAGCTATGAACAAAAACCCAAAGATACGCCCTCCCTTAAGATAGAAGCAAGACATGCCCAAAACTCCACCCCTATGCACCGACTACCTGGAAAACATGTCGTGACTCATATCCCTCCACCGAGGTAATATCCACCTTCTCATCGGCTGGTATCATATGATGTTGCAGATCCCAACCGGCCCGACGAGACAGTTCTGATACTACCACATCACAGTCACCCAAGAGATCAATATCGAACTCGGTATGTGACACAGGCTACACGCCATGATCAGTATGATACATTGTCAATTTCATCAGCATGACTTACAGTGCGCGATATATAGATCTGCGGGACGTGGCGAGGCAGAATCCCGGGTACTTCAGCAACGGGGGCTACCTTCAACGAGGTCCCGATCACAATGACTAGGTCTGCTAGCTCCCGATCTTGGTGGATTAGTCGTTCGCCAAACTCATCGGGCAGGTCCTCGCCAAAAAACGTGATATCAGGCTATACTTTTCGTAAGTATGGAGGAAAGCAAATAAGGAATTCAATGATCACTGACCTTCATCACTCCAGGAGTCGGGATTTCATAGTCGTCCTCATCTGAACTGTCGCCGGAGACCTTGCGGTCTTTCTGGTGACCATTGGAACTTCGTTTGCGCTTAAGACCTTGCGGCTTTAGTTCTCTCTTTGCAATGCTCTCCTTGCAGGCGGTGCAGTGGGGGACATTTCCCGCCCTGATTTCATCGAAGATCGTGTCGCCAGGGACATTGAACCCACACTTCACGCAGGTAGCCCTCGCAAAGGATCCATGACACTGTACAATTTTTTCCGGAAGTACCCCGGCATTTGCTTCAATGTTATCGATATTCTGCGTGTAGTTGGTCAACAGCTTCCCCTTGTCTTGTAGAAGCCGAATGAACGCATGGGTGGGCGACCATTTCTTTTCCGTTGGGAGAATATCCTTAGCAATGGAAAAGAAAATATTCGGATCCTCCCTGAAGATATGGATATCGAAGACTTCTTGTGGATCGCTCAGGCCCAGGTGCGCCAGTTTTGAATAGAGCCCGGTATCCTTCGAACGGAAATCGGGAATACCCAGACTTGTGGAGATCTGATAAAATACCCGTTAGCACTTATTGAGGAATATTCAATACACTTTGCTGTGTACGTACACCTGCGCCCGTTAGAACGACGATGTTCCGAGACTCGCGAAGGAGCCGAACAGCATCGTCGATGGTGTTGTACTGGGGAAGCTTAGGCCTCCGGGAGAACTCGCGCGAGATCGCGACCGCCAGAAGAGAATGATAGGACTCATCCGGTGCACCGTCGAGGAATGCCGGAGGCATGATTCCAAACGCTGTGCATAACTTTTTGGCCGTGACGGTTTCGCGGAGGATGGTCTCTTCTACGAACGCCGCCTTGCCAATCGCATGCAGACGCTGTCGGTATGCAGTCGCCTCTTCCAGAGTACAGGCACCGGGAACTGCGACAGAAAACCGACCAGATTAGCCAATATTCGTTCTGATCTCCGAAGCGGGGGTGTCCGGGGTAAGAGGTGAGGGTGGATATAGTTACATACCGAGGCCGTCGCGGATCTGGTCATCGCGTAGGAACTGGATCGCCTCATCGCAGTTAGACAGAGTATCCCATGCATCGGAATCATCGCTGTCCGTCTCCAAATCCGACGGAATCTCAAGTGCGAGGTCCGGCGCGTCGTCCTCCATGTCGTACTGTTTCTCCATATCCACGGCCCCCACTTCGACCACAGTGGTCTCTAGCGAAGTCTCTCCTTTTGGGGCTGGTATCAAATCCATTTTGCAGGAGTTTGAGATTCCAGCCACGGAGACAAACTCGTTTCACTCGCGCTTGCAATCTGCTCTGGCAAAAATTCGGGCGTCTGCCTCACCGGAGGCAACTTAATCCGGAACCGATGAATGAATTGCAGTGGCGATGTCAAAGAAGTTTTGGCTTGTAGTTCAGGGGGTTCGGCATGAAAGAGAGAATTGGGGGGAAAATCAAAGAAACTACTTTTAGTGGTATCAAATCAAACAGATCAATGAACATGTACATCATCTCATGTGGTCGTCACTTTTGGTATCTATGAATCCGCCATCTCATCGTCAGAGTCAACTTCGATCTCCACATCTGAATCCTCGCCTTCTCCCTCTCCTTCAGCTTCACTCTCATCATCCTCTCCAATTTCTTTGTTTATTTCCTGTACAAGCTCCAAGGCATGATCGCGGAGCCGGTCATCCTCATACTGAAGGACATCGTAGAGCTTCAAGCTTTGCTTGAGCCATTCACGACTAGCATCTAGTGATGCATGTCGCGGGGACTCGGCAAGCTCATCAGCGGTCGCATCCTTAGGTGCCTGTTGCTTTTCTGCCAGCAGGAAGAGACACCAGCCTCCGAGGTACCAGGCCTCTACACTTTCATCATCCTCTAGAATCAAGCGCTCGAGGACTTCCAGAGCCTCAAACTCCATATTCACTTCCATCAGGAGTCGCGCAAGACTGATGCGCACCGCAAAATCGGGAATTCTGAGATCTTCTGGGGCCAGGTCCTTCCAGAGGCTCATACTGCGAGTGAGCGCGGCTTGCGCATCTTCAGTGCGCAGTTGTGAGATCCGGATGGACGCGAGGGTCTGTAGTACCTCTGGCGCTTCGGGTGTGACAAGAATGGCTTCCGTAATAAGTGCTTCACACCGAGCTTCGGCATCCTCTTCCCAGCTAAGCGAAAATGTTAGCGTCAGCGCGCAATGAATTTTGGAATATATAGAAACTCACGAAAGATCGGTCATGTAGGTTTCGGCGACAGCGCAGAGTGCGTTAGACAACTTGGTCTTCTTCTGTGTAATATCGGCAATCTGCTCTGGTGACTTTTTCCCCTCAAGAGACTGAATAGTCTGTCTGAGGGACGCCACACCCATCTCGAACCACAGGACGCTGTCCTTTCCACCTTGTTCACTCAATTGTGCAAGCCATAGGAACTTCTCAGCTCCTCCACCCTGGGATTCCGGTATCGAGCCATTTGGGTCGAGTTGAACAGCCTGAAGGAAGCAGTTTCTGGCGGTGTCGATGTCACCTAGTTCAACATTGATTTCTCCAAGAAGGTTAATAGCGGGGAGCTGTGCAGTGGTGTTCTCAGCGGTCAACTCCAGAGCCTGCTGTGCTACCACGAGTGCCTCATCAGCTCGACCAGTTTGTAGGAGGATTGTGGCTTGGTCGAGTAACGTTGAGGGATCTTGAGCCATGTTGCCTTTTGAGATTGAGCCACCAGGGCCGAGAACGGACTTTTCGCGGGGTTTGGATGATTTCTTCTTTTGTGGTCTGGACTTTCCCATGGCAGGATGCAGTAAAATTTAATAAATAATGGTGATGTTGTCGACTAGAATATTAAGCAGAGTGATTGTCAATTATAACCCACAGGGTATCTGGGAGAAGTAAAAAAAAAGTGTACCTCCAAATTTTTGGAGCGGCTGTTTGACAGGTTTGCATGTGGGACCGCAATATTGTACCATATCGTAATGATAAGCCCAGCATGTCTACTTGCTATTATTCCCATCGTCCCTGCACTTACTATAGCTAACCTTGGAATGGTCTATTCTTCTAGCTATTACACAGAGAAGAACATAGATGCATGAAGAAAGATGTTTAAATTTTTTTCTAAAAAGACTTCTCACAACCGTGGTTGTCGACATGGAGCATTGCCACCATTGTGCAATCTCACTCTACATGTAGAGATCAATCGCCTCCTTTCTTTCTGTCTAGAGCTAAAATGGCTCAAGTCGGTTTCTTTCCGCCTCCCCGCTATCCAGTGGGCGAGCATATCACCTTCTCGGAGCCCAATCACACCGAATGGACCATGTCGCTAGGATCTCCCAGCAAAACTCCCAGAATGACGAGTCCGACGTTGAAGCTGGGTATGGACCCTTGTACGCCGTTGCGACCTTCCGTGTCAGCAGGGACTTAGATGGCCAACAGGCCTATATGCTCGTCTACCTACAAGTTCCCCATCAAGGAACCGAGTTCTTCCCACTTAATGAGCGAGCTAAGCAGGTCGCTGCTAGAGGCCACTGCAAGGTCGAAGCTATCAAGGCCTTCCACAAAAAATATTCGACTATTACACCTGCTCTCCTTGGAATAAAAGAGGATGTCCAGGACCAACAAGGGGTTATCCCGAGGGGCTTCGCCATCCACTTTGTCTTCCAACGTGTCCCAGGATATCGTCTCTGGGAAGATCATGTTATGCCTAAACATAGAGCCCAGCCTCATAGATTCTTTACAGATTTCACCGTTCCCGAGCGAGATCAGATTAGAGAATCGTTTAATAAAGGGTATCGCGAGCTGAATAAGCTGGGATGGGTGCCCTACTATCCCTCGGCAACTGAATTGATCTGGGACCCCATTGCCTCGAAATTGTGAGTCTTCTTCATCGTGAGTCTTCTTCATCGTGAGCCTAGGTTAGGCTTGTGGCTGATTATTGAATTAGGTACTTTGTTGACTTTAGAGATGTTCACTAGGCAGGTTCTCACGATGAGGATGTTGTTCCTGATGGCAACGATACCCTAGAACCGAAAGAGATGGCCCCGATTGTACGTTGGGGGATTTGGGGCCTCACCATTCCCCCTGATAAGCGGCAAGAACGAGCAGATCTTTCTAAGTGGACGCTCTAGCCCTGAAGTACTTTGCTGCCTATGCGACGATGTAGCTCTTGAGTCTTTACAATTCCAATCTTTTTCATATGTATCGGAGATAATCACGATATTACCTCCTACATAGCCAAGTGATTGCTGTTTTATAGCTATCTTCGGGGTTTATTTTCCATTTCAATGTTAGTGAGCGGGTCATGGTGTTCTTGAAGCTGGAAGTCGGCGAGTTTAATATATTCACGTGACCGGGCTTGGCCCCGACGTTGGTTGCGACTTGGTTTGCGCTCCGATCTCTTTTTTCCCGAGTTTCTTAATATTGCGATATCTCAAGGTCTTGCCTAGATAGTTTTCCAAGCTGTCCCGCTGGAACTACTCTTGTCCGTGTCCGCGCTGTTTCCCGAAGAATCTGCACTCCCGCGCTCAAATTGTTACCCCGCCGGCGGATCAACAGCTATGGGTCGTGAAGACCAGATTGAGGAGCGTGAAGTGCTCGATTCAATCTTCCCCGATGAAATTAGCGGTAAGTAATAGACGAGGCGCCTATACGGTTTAAGCTTTCTTTTTATCCTTGCTCACAGCGAGACCTGGCACCTAGACATATCCGAAACCTCGTACCGAGTATCCATAACTCTTGATGCCCTCGAATATGACGGCGATGAAACAGAACAACCTGTGATATGCCTGGAGGTCTCTTACCCGGAGGAATACCCCGATGTTGGCCCGAATCTCAGCATCTCGTCACCACCCAATGCTTCGAAGCATCCTCGGCTAGATGTCCAGGAAGACCGGGACCTACTGATGGAGTCTCTTCAGCCCACTATCGAGGAGAACTTGGGTATGCCGATGATATTCACACTAGTCAGCGCACTTAAGGAAAGCGCAGAGCTTCTTATGTCCGAGCGAGCAGACGCCATTCAAGCCGAGATGGACCAAGTCGCTGCGAAGAGAGAGGAGGAGGAGAACAGAAAATTCAATGGCACAGCAGTCACTGTCAAGTCATTCTTGGAGTGGAGTGCCAAGTTCAAAAAGGAGCAGGAGGAGGAGGAGCTTCGCGTACGCGAAGAAAAGGAATCGGAAGACAAGAAGAAAAAGCCCACGAAAGAGGAGAAAAAACTCACAGGCCGACAATTGTGGGAGAGGGGCTTGGTAAAGGGCGACTATGATGAGGAAGGTGATGATGCTCTACCGGCTGTTGAGAAGCTCAGTGTGGCCGCATGAGCTGATACATAGAAATGTTAATGACCTGCCATTACTTCATGAAATTATGTATTATAACCTTTTTGAATTGGTGTGATTATACTGAGCGATCAGTGAACTAGTATCAAGGGCAGGCGGAGTAATATACAGATCTGCAAGTCCACATGGACTTACGTTATGGTACAGGGAAAGATAATGCCCAATCAGCAGACAAAAGAGGAGTGGAAGAGAGATATTGTCGTGGTTTGAGCTGCTTGCTATAGCCCATGGTTCCCATTGATCGGATATGATCAAGAAACCTGGCTAGGTTGGCATGGATAATGTAACATTCCTTTACAACAAACCTTTGTATTCTGATCTCGGGCGACATTGACAAGGGCATGGCCATGGATAGGCGACTCTGATGTGGTCAGAAATGGACCTAGAATGGCCATATGGTTGACCAACATCCGTCTGCCCAAAGAGCTATGGGAATGTAATTTGGGATAGCGCGGCAAGACGGACCACTCAGTCTCATTACTTTGGCTGCTTTTGGCTAGCTTCTTCTTCTGCCAAAGCCCTTTCAGCTAGAACAATCTTCCACAGGTTATCTGCAAGCTCTTTAGATTGCATGTCGAAGTGTCCGATTTTCGCATTGACATCGGCAATGGCATTTGCAGGATGTTCAGACCAAGTGGATGGCTCCTTAGTGTTGGTGACGCGATCCCACTCCTCTTCGTCCTCGGCGAAAAGTAGCTCTACTTTCAGTCTGTCACGACGTTCAATCCAGTTCCAACGACGTGTAAGTTTTGTTCGTATCACACTGCTAACGTTTCTCGGTTGCGGTTTTTTAAAGCGCAAGAACGGAAGTCCGCGTGCATTGACAAGTACAGGGACATTGCGCTTCTTGTCACCTAATGGCTGGGGTCTGTTTAGGACCGAGCCGGCGTTCGGATGTCGCTGATTTGTTTCCTCCTGGAAGCGAATAGACTTTTCTTTTCGGGCTTTCTTGGGCGTAAGAGGTTTGACAGATGGCGCTACTAGTCGAATCTTCCTTTGCATCGCAGCATATTTATCTTTTTGTGACCTAGCTTGTGCTATAAGAGTTGTGATCCGCTGTGCATCATGTTGGTTGGTATGGGACGAAGAGAGGAGATCTAGAGCCTATCATATGAAATATCAACATGAGCTCAACCAAGATGAATATTCGATGAACATACCTCATAGCCTGCCTTCAAGGCATTTGCTGTTTGTGATGGGCTTTGTAATTTTTTATATTTTCGGAAATTCTGCCGAACCAGCGGTTTGGTCTCACCCAGCCACGGATTGTCTGCAGTTAGAGGTCGACATTGTCGGAGAAGTGCTCGATAGAGTGCCAAACCTATCAGAGACAGACTGTCAGCTGGAAGTGCGGGAAACGTAGGGAAATATCTCTCACAAGCAAAACGATGAGCTCCGTTATACTTGGGCACCAGCACTTTATGCATTCTGCCGTGTTGAAGGTTATACTAATAATGAAGCTAAAGCTAAGTCTTATCTCATTTCTACCGGCCACCACCGCCTGCTGTAATGAGCTAGCAGACCAGATTAACTAATGGGTACTGCCCAAGACACATACCGCCTTGAACCAAAGGCACGTGACCAAAATTGGGTATATATACCCGCCCGCGCCCCCAGAATCTCCTCTTCTTTTCTTTCTTCTTCAGCTCTCTTTGCCTATTGGCTTAGATCAAGTGTAGTATCTGTTCTTTTCAGTTTAATCTCTGAAAGTTTCCGTCCAGGAAACACTTTGATTATTCCTATTTTTGGATCTCGCGACTTGGCCCCTGTGCTTGCACATGCCTCGTTGCACAGTGTCATTGGGCTTACACTACCCCCGATCGACGCGAACCCCTTTTTCATCAACTGCTCGGCTTGTCCGGGCGCTTGGAGAAGAAGATCATGTAGAGGTAAATACTATTCTCTTGGGCCTAGGACAGTGTCCCCTCGGAGTTGTTTGTCTGGCGTCGCCCTGTCTACCCCCATGTTGTGCCTTGTTATTTTTTTGGCATTTGGCTCTTGGATCATCTTATCCTGCCTCCTTCCTGAAGCCCCAGGTTTTTTTGACCTCTCTTCGACCTTTAGTCTAAGCGTTCGTCCCCTTGATTCCCTCGATCCCTTTGTCCTGTCCCCATGTTTGGTCTAATGTCCCCCGACCCTAAGTTGCTTCATGCTAGATAGCTAGGAATCACGCATGGAAATAAAATGAATCATTTCTATGTCATTCCATAAATGAAGTAATAGTAGTTAGTTATTCATTTTTTTATAGTTATCGGTGCGCCTGACGCAATGCCCAGTCCAGTTTCACGAAAAAAACACTTTAGAGATGAAGACCTAATGTAGGGATGAAAATTGAAAGTTGGGGCCCAAAATAACCCCTGCCGATGCTTTCATGCAGAGACTGTACACGCTCTAGGGTCATAGAAGAAGAGAAGAAGCCAGGAAATTTAAATGAAGCCCACCGTCACATATGCTGGACTAGAAAGTCGAGCCCTCCGGGGGCTGCGGCAGCTTCTTATGCTGGGGCAAGGCCATGTACCTGGACTAAGTGTCAACACCAACTATTGCATCCTCTACAATTCTTTGTGCTCACCTTCTTAACTCAATCAGAACCGTCTCCATAGTGTTGTCTCGTTTCCACTGCGCAAGGGTAGGAAGCTTTGTCGGATCGACCTGTAGTACAATCACTTAGTTCATAATGGCTTCGTGTTTTGGTACCCACTCTCCTCATACCTTGCCAGAGCTGGGATCAACACAGGGGATGTTGACTCGAGAAACGAATTGAACGGTAGGCGGGTTATCGGGGTAGTCAGGTCCGCAGTGGATGTTCACACTGTATATCCGGTTCTCATGGACGCTCTAAAAGCGGCAGATTAGCGATAGTTTAATGGTGGAATGGAGAAGACCCAGAAACTAACGTGAGGCGGACCAAGGATGGTTCCATTCCAGTTGCTCATCATCATATCCTCCCCATCAGCAAGTCCGTATGAGCAGGCATCTAATAATAAGGAAGATACGTCAGTGATCTAAGATCGGACATTATCGGGGATCGTAGGACAATCGTACCTGCACTCAGACCCTTCTCGCCCTTCTCGAGCTCCTCCAGAAGGCGAAAGTTCCTTGGGACCTTGGCGGCCATGTTGAACACCGAGTAGTGGTTTCGGAGGCTGGAAATATCACGACAAGTGTGAACAGATGCCAAAGAGGGATGTTGCGACAAGAGGGGCAATGCGCTGGGCGGTCAAGTGGGATCATGATCACGTGCGATATGGCTTATCGGTGGCTTGGCACCTGTTGGAGATGCCACGCCTTGTTGATCCCATCGTGGAATCGTTGTACTAGCAGAATTGCAGTCGTTGTTCCCTTGCTGCTCACATGAACTTGGAATTAAAGCTCCAAGTTTGCCACTAGTCTGGTGTAGGAACACCGATCTGTTCATCTGCGATCGAGAGCTCCCTATACTGTTGACGTCGGGAGTGCTGGCCATGCTTTGATGCAACAAACCTATATCAGAAATGTCCTCCCAATTCTTGCAGACGGAGCTCGCCAATTTGATACATGAGTCTCGAAGGAAAAACTCCGATTTGCGAAATGTTGGTTATCACTCTCTAGGCATCATCGGCCATGGCACACTAACGAGGAACTAACAGGCCGCTGAACAATCATTGAATGAGCTCAAAGCACTGCCCTCAACTTCAGAGGCTCAGATAGCAGCAGGTAATTTTCTATATGGCAACCATTTGTCAATTTTCAACCGCTAAAACGGCATTAGATCTTGTTCGCAAACCGAATTTCGTCGAGCCATTCATCATTGCATGCTATACTCGGCATGCGAAGCTTGCCGGTATTGGTGTGATCTGTTTACAGAGACTAATTGCATCTCGGTCATTACCCTCGAGCCGTTTGAAGGATGTTCTCGGGGGCCTGAAGGAGACAACGAGCTTGAGTAAATGACCAAATAAATCAAAGCCTCTAAATTGCGCTAACGCTTTCTAGGTCTTGATATCCAACTGAAGATTCTACAATCTCTGCCTTCGCTTTTGCAATTTTATTCCAATGAATTGAGCGGGGAGCTTCTTGCGAATACGTTGGAAATATGCGCCACATTACAGGCAAGCAAAACGATTGCAGTCTCTAGTACTGCCGCGGCTACTCTCCAACAGCTGGTGGTATCGACCTTTGAAAGAGTTTCGAGCGAAGACAGCCTTCCGAAGGATGTCAAAATCACCACAACCATCAAAGTCGATGGTCAGTCGCTCGACATCGGCTACTTCGCCTATGATGCACTGCAAGTATTGGATGATCTCTGTCGTCTGATTGATGGTGAGCCACTACAGTTTCTGCGAACACGAACCCTACCCCCGACCTTTGTACTCGAACTTATCGAGAGTATTCTCTTGAACAGCGGCCGTCTTTTTGTGGGACATCCCGAACTTTCGCAAGTGCTGCGCGTTCGGTTGTTACCACTAGCCGTCCGTTGTCTATCTGAGAGGTATTCATTCGCTCAAACCGTCCGAGTCGCTCGAATTCTTCTCATTCTTCTGAAGCGTCATATGTCTCTCTTGCCCACAGAATGTGAGATGGCATTGAGTCTGATAACCCATCTCGTTGAACCGGATGGGACAGCGCCTTGGAAGAGACTACTCTGCATGGAAATCTTCCGAGGGCTATACTCGGAGCCGGGTACTGTGCGGCTGATCTACACTTTGTATGACAGTGAGGAAGGCAGAAAGAACATCCTTCGTGACCACATGGCGGCACTTGTTCGGCTAGCTTCGGAGAAGCCTTCGTTGATTGGTGTCAGTAATCAATCAACGGTACCTTCACGTGCAGAGCACTCAAGATCAACCACAGAGGATCAGATAACTCTTGAAACTGGCGGTGTTGCTGGTGTCATTGGATCAACTGTTCCTCCAAGTGAAACCAAGGTGCCTGGAATTAGCACTCAGTGGAGTGTTGTTCGTACGCCATATATCGATCTCCTCGACAAGACGGAACCGCCCACACCGCCGGACACCTACATTTACAGCCTGGTCCTTAATTGTATCAGCAGCTTTGCTGAAGGGCTCGCGAAATTCATTCTTCCATTAACGGTCCCGGATCTCAAGCAAAGACGCAAGAATCGACTTATGAGCCCCGTTCAGGGACCCGACTCCGCTAGATCTTCTCAAGATTTTCCAGCAGAACCCATGCGAGCGCAGTCTAGCTCATCATCGAAAAAATCACATGTTCCCATCAATCCTCTGGACCTGCAGTCTCATGTACAGTACTCCGCCATCAAGACTTGCGCGGGGATAATAGAGAACTGTTGGCCCGCTGTCCTAGCAGCTTGTTCCACCTTTTTGCGCGCATCTTTAGATGACGAGTATTACCATAATCTTGTTCGAGCATTCCAAAAGCTAGCTCATGTGGCGGGTCTTCTGAGATTATCCGTTCCCCGAGATGCTTTCTTAACAACTCTTGGAAAGGCTGCTACGCCTGTGAGTGGTGCCAAGTCACACAATGTGTCTGCCACCGGCTCCCAGCAAAGTGACACACCCCAAAAGAAACGGAGAAGTGCGGATCTGTCAAGTCTGGCCAGTTCTTTATCACTGGAGCCTACTGCGGTGGAAGGTCCTCCTGTGTCTTTAAGTACGAGAAACCTACTTTGTATGCGGGCTTTGCTTAACCTCGGAATTGCTTTGGGGCCGACATTGGATCAGCCGGCCTGGTCTATTATTTTTGAAACACTTCAATATACTGGACTGGTGATTGGCATGTCCTCAAGTGCAATGGTCAAATCGGCTAGCGGTACTGGGGAGACTCCAGTCACCCCAGGAAACGATGTTCCAACTGCCAATCTTGGGACTGAGGTGATTGCGGTTCAGGCGGCTTCTAACAAAATGCTCGAAAGCACCAGCGATTTCCCAAGTGCATCTTTTGAAGAAATATTACTTGCCTTGTTGAATCTGTCAGCATTCACCGAACAGTGTCGCAACATGAATGATGCCCCAGGAGTATCAGACATACCTCGAACACCGCAATCACCCCAGGCAGGTGGACGCTTGCACCAAGGTTCCCGGCGCGTATCGCATACTGTCGGAAAATCAAGAATGCAAGACGAGGAACTCAAATTTGTATTGGAGAAAGCAAATGAACTAGCCAAGGCAAATCTTGGGAGACTGTCTTCGCTCGAGAAAGATGACAGCAAAGCATGGGAGCTACTGACGCAAAGTCTCATCTCTACTTCCGCAAATACTACCGTCAGTCCGAATCTTCGCCTGCAGGCAAGCGCGATTTTGAACTCGATCGTATTCTCAACAATGAAACAAAGGGACGAAGACGATGAGAAAGTCTACAATCAAGTGCAGACGAGGAATCTGCAGACATTGAAAGCCCAGGTCGCCTCGCTCTATGCATCGGACATGCACACGTCCAAGTCTTTGCCAATAACCGTCATTGAAATCCA